GGTCAATAAGAAAAGGAGACGAGTGGAATACCTAGTGCTGTGGGAAGGTTATGAAAACGAGGATGCTACATGGGAACCTTGGGAGCATCTCAGGAAGAGTGCTGAAAGGGCCCTTCGGGATTTCCATATGAGGTATCCTAAGAAACCCAAGGACAAGCGGATTGTTGGGGTGTAGATATCTCCTTTTGGGTTTTCATTTCCTTGCACATCACGGAGTTTCTTGTCATATAGAATGAATGGTAATAGAATGGTTATAGATCTCGGAGACCAAGATCCAGGAAGAGGGGAGTGGTGTAACGGAGCCATTTCAACTGTCTGGTGTATGAGTACACACAGGGCCCGGTTACATGCTGAGAGTTATTGTTAGAAGCCAGTTGCACGGTGATATGCAAGTACCGGCAGTGTGGTTAGCTACCAGCTGTTAGAGTAACTACATTCCGGGCGCTAGGAAGGGGATCTATTCATGGGAGCAATGACTGACGAGTCTATGCCTCGCCAGTGTCTAGAAGTCCGGCCAGAGTGAAGCTCTGATTGTCCGGTGATCCACTATAATCCTCGGAGCATTGTAAGTCCGCCGAAGGGCAGGGACTATGCTAGGGAAGTCTACAATAAGCGAAAGCTCTACAGCAATGATTAAGCTTACACCTGAGCGGCAGCTCATTCATGCAGGTCCTCGGTTGTGCGGCAACCAAGGCTGCAGGTGTTACAAAGGCTTTGACTAAGGGTGGTTGCCTTGGGTATCGGAAACACCTGCTGACGCTTAGAGAAAAGCGGGGTAGCAGAGGTATTGTTTCCGGTACTGAGGGAAGGCCCACCGGAACTTAGTAAAGGAGTCAGGAGCAGAGAATAGAGGCCTTCGGAGTATAAGTACTCAGGTTCATTCTCGCCCTTCAGTCCATGTTCTCTCCAGTCTTCATCAGAAGAAAAACCAAGTTCTTATCGGTAGCAGAGCCCTTAAAGATTATTGAGTTCTAGCGATAGTATCTTTGAATAATCTGCAACCTGATTGTCTATCTTGCACGGCCGTCTCTATTCTATACAAATCTATTTCTCTTAGAAAGGACCCCCGTTACACCAACGGATTCACTGCATTCACAGACACCATGGCCGCGGACTCTCTCTATAGTTATGCACCTACCTGCATATGCGCCGAGCCCTTCTCTGCTTGGTCCGGACTTACCATTCACCTCTACGGATATAGTGGATTGCTCGAAAATTGACGGTATTGTCCCCTGGGTCCTGGTCCACATATCTTTACACAGTATCGTAGGTTCTCACTTCAGCAAACCACCACCGCCGGCTCACCGCGTGGCCCGTTCCGTTCCAGCTTCTGCTCCACATAACTCTCGACTCTCTTACCTACGTACTCATAGTTACCCTGCACCGTATTGTAGACGAGGCTTAGCTAGGCGTCCCCCCACCACCACCACGACGCCGGGAGTCTGTTTATCATCTCACCTCTACTACAGAGCCCCCCCCTACCTGATACCTCATACCTTCCCTACTCTTTCCCCCAATACATTCGGGTCCCTACATTATCTGCACTTTACCATTCCAGGCCAGTCCAGTCCAGAGCAGTCGTTCGATATAACCACTCCACTATTCTTTTTCGCAAAACCTACCTTCGTATGAACGATCGCCAGGATATGAGTGAGAGTCTCGAGGCAAAGCTGGTGGTGCTAGGCACTCAAGGTTGGTTTTAAGTTTTTCTTGTTGATCGTTGCGTTCGGATGTCCGCGGACTAGTCCGAGCGCTTGTAGGAGGAGGGGTACCTAGCTAGAATGTATGGGAGAGGAGAGGAGAGAGCTGTGGAATTTAACGGTGATGGTGGAAGAGGAGGGGAAGCTATTCAAAAGGGATATGATAGCTAACAATCCATCTTGATTGGGATAAATAGGCGTGGGCAAGACTTCGCTCGTCGTCAGGTATAACATACGCCACCCCTAGCTAGATAATGAGAAATCTATATCTGCGCATTCAACGGAACAGTATTAGTAACAGCCAGCTTGTGAGGGATTAATTAGATATGTCAAAAACACTTTTGATCCCGCGTCGGCGTCAACGATAGGCGCTTCATTTCTTGCCAAGAAGGTTGTGGTCGATGATTGCCTTGTGCGGCTACAAGTAAGCTCTTTCCTTCCCCGGCGGGATCGATAGTAGAGTAGTTCTAATGAGCTAATTAATTACAAATAATAGATATGGGTAAATAAGCATTACCACATACCTTGGTAACAGGACTCGCGGGGCTTATATTTCAAAATTTTAGGACACCGCCGGTCAAGAGCGCTACCGCTCTATATCGAAACTCTACTACCGCTCCGCCAACTGCGGAATTCTCTGTTACGACATAACTTCTGAAGCGTCATTCCTTGCAATGCATTCATGGTATGTTCCTCTCTATAATATCCCCCTCCCATCTATTTTATTATATTTCATTGTCTCTTTTTTTTTTCTTCCGCCAACCTAAATAAACCACTCCTTCGATGCTACTTCTAAAGGCTTCTCGAACTCAAGAAGAACGTAAACAACGAAAACATCATCATCCATATCGTAGGGACCAAGGCCGACTTAGTGAACGCCGATCCGTCGAAACGGGAGGTACCGTTTGAGCGCTGTGTTGCATATGCGGCAGAGCATCTGGGCGATGATGAGGCTGCATCATGGATGGGCATGGATACATGTCATGAGATATCAGCGCGAGATGACCAAGGTTAGTAATATGACTCCTAGCAGTGGAAGTGTACGCGTGCTAAAGAAAATACGTAGGCGTCGATGAAGTATTCCAAGTAATTGCACGAAAGCTGGTTGAGCGACGCGCCGAAATTGAGCGAGTGCGGGGATATGCTGGCGGAGGCGGGGAATATGGGGATAGCGGGGGTACTCGAGACGGCATGAGAATTGATGCTTCGTTAGACTCGAACGAGAAGAAGAAGGGCGGAAGGTGCTGTTAGATGTTTTATTAGATTGGATGGAAAAGGCCCCATGCACGACATACACGACCATAACGACCATTCCCCTTCTCTCCTGGGTAACCTATTGATGTATTGTTTTTATGCGTTTTGTCATGTTTTTGTGCGGTGTTTTATGGTTTTTCTTTTCTTTTTCAACCCTTTCTTTTTTTCTATATCAGTGTAATTGGTTCTAGTCTTTTACAGCGGGTTCTTCATATTATTAAACTATTCGGCAAATGCCATTATACTACGATAGCCAGTCAAATTCATTTCACATCTAGACCCTGCACGTGAAGAGACCGCTGATTTGGTCCTAAATAACGCCACTACAAGGGTTGCCTTGAGGGTACGCAAATCGACTGGGCGAGGTGGTACGTTTATGCAGGTACCCATTACCTAAAAAGCTCGATTATTGCAAGGGCATGGATCTCAGTTACACAGTTGTTCCCAGTCGAGTGACAACATGTGACTGAGACTACGATCTGCAATCAACACCATTTTTAAGTGAGAACTAAGATCCCAATCATAAATAGTTAGTCATATATAAGCTTTTAGGAACTAATAGAGTTTAAAAACCCCAACCAATGCTAGTATGTTCAATCGAATAGCTGCTCGGTTTGGAGATGAGAACCGAGTGAGAATTTATGTTCCGAATTGGGTGACTTTGCGAGGTTGGATTCTTTCTGCATCGTATATTTCTTCTTCTTCTTGAGCCATACTGCACTATTCAGTAGAGACCCACATCTCTTTTTCTTTACCAATTATGATTTGGTGAACTGCAGTTCGAAAGAAGGTATAATTATAAGAGATTCAGAATCTCTTATAAATTTTGGTGATGGACACTTGGGAAAATCCCATCTCGTCTCATATCTTTTTAAAGTGAGTCTTGAAAAACTCGAGACAATGGTCTCGTCTTGTTTTGCCAAAGGTCTTGAGACTTACTCTCGAGATCGATCTCCAGACCTGGTCTTGTCAGCCCCCACAGCCTCTATTGCATCTACTATACTATAAGAGAATATGGTCTGAAAAGGTTTCGCTAAACCCTAATCCTATATCCGCCCCTGACCACGGGGAGAGGGGGGGACCAAATAATGAGCGAGAAGCCAAGATAACCGTTTAAGCTACAATCACAGGGCCAGCCAGAGATCTAACCCACGAGGCCGGAGGAGTGCCACCAAGCTTCAGAAAAAAAAATGTCAATAAATTTAAACACAAAAAGTCTTGCTGAGGGAATGCTTTTCAGGGGGGTGAGTGACATTTATTACACATACACCCAAGTATAGACTCCCACCCCCAGGATTGAACCCATGACCTACTGATGAAGCTTGGACACAGTTGGAGCAACCTAAATCTCTGTCGGCTTGAAATACAAACCTTACCGAATTATGGGGGCAATGTCTACTGAGTTACTAGGCGTCAGAGAGGACGAATTCCCCATAACAGTGAAGGACAGTGAGGAGGCAGTAGCATGGTTGCGGGTGAAGTGGAATCACTTGTTCATGCCTTCTATCTCCACCTTTCCCTCTCCTCCGGCTCCCACCTCCCTCTCTATGTTCACTATGGCGAGAATTTACCATTAACCCATCGCTATCCCTAATTAACCAGTATCATTATCAGCAGTTGCATAATACATTTACGGACCTCTGGCTACGCCTAGGCGGGTTGTTTTCAGACTCAATCGGCTCTACATTTAGGAACCCTTGCCGTAAAGCCACGATAGAGAGAGAAAGGTGTCCTCCCGGTCAAAACGACCATCCCCCCCGCCGATACAATACTACCCACTGAACCACAACCGAAGGCCCTACGTATAAATCCATAAGCGCGCATCACAAAAAATACACATTCAAGCGCCCCAAAGAAAACTACCGGTTTTACGATACCTCTTGAAACATTGATCAAGTCCCAGACATCGACAGGAATAAAAGACCCCCCAGACAGTGTGAGGCGGGAAGACCTTAGACACCAACGGGGACACCAACGGGGACACCAACGGGGACACCAACGGGGACAAAAGAAATGCTGTAGGGCCGCTCCTACTGGTAGCAATCTATGAGCGGTTTCATAGAGCCTATCCTTAAGCTTTGTAATTTGCGAAAAGCTATCCTCTTGGGTTTGGTTAATCTGTTTCGTCTAAGAGTAAGGGTTTTTACTAATAGTAGATCGGCCAGTCAAAAATATTAAAATACCGCTAATGACCTTTCTTCCCCACAATCAAGAGTCAGGTACAGTAACTTTTTGTTGATGGCGGTTAACATATTGCTAATACTATCATTACCATTGATTACTAATCATAGTGAGGTTTGTCCTTGTAGTGTTAGCATTTCACTACAAAAACCCTTTGATTTCACCTGTGGTCCTGCAAGAGCTGTTTGTTCAACCGAACCACCAGGACATTGAACCTGCGTTTGAAAAACGATCAAAAGCCAATGGCTTGTACTTCGTGTATTGGAGGTGCAGATCAATTACTTATGGTCATCTGTGACCCATATGCTATCATGAGTATTGGCCGGCCGATGGCTGTTAAGCGCGAAAAAAGTGCAGAGGGTTTCGCCGTTGTCATATGCGGGTGATTGAAGGTTAACCCAACTTCCTTCGTGCTACACACATGAAGCAGGTCCCCGATTATTCCGTTCAACAATGCGGTGAATATCCGTCTCGACGCCAGAACAAACGGAAGGCACAGTTAAAGTCTTTAGTAATAATAATAGTAATAGTCTCAAGGATTTCACATCCATGCAAGATACTACGAGATAAAGTCTGGCCTGTCATAATTGGGAAGCTTAATTTTTTTTTCGTTTTCCGAATCTGTCAGCAGCCGGCGATCGAGATGTCTGATTCTGCGGGCTGTTGCTAACCCAGGGACTAATTATACTGAGCTAACTGTCTTGCATTAGACTTTCCGACAAAGCCAGGCTTGTCGTCATGTTGCAGGAAATCTCTTTTATGCTAATGCAGGAACCACGTGGAAGCTCATTCCAGATTCACTCTAGTAGTGAAGTGCAAATGGAAGGTGAGAAGCAAATGTAATCGCACAGCGGCTTCTTCCGTGCCGGCTGGTCGTTATCGCGAGCCCACGTGGAGAACCCTGGAGATTAAAGATGCTATTGCTCTTTCAGGCCATCTAATCATCACGAAGAAATGGAAAAAATCGGTTTTACATGACGATTTAAATATCTGGAAAAATAAAACCCAAACCCCGTACAAAAAAAGACTACTAAGTTACACCAACACTGACACAAGCCGGGAAGTTGGGGATAGCAAGTTCTTAGAGATCTTCCTATTTAAAATACACGCCCTCCAAAACTCTAGTGCCCGTTTGGCTTTGTGGAAGCTTGTGCGGCCAATTTGTCATGGGCGTCAATATCACTGTGTTGGATGTTAGTCTGTATACGAATCAAAACAGAAAACGAGCAATGGAAACGTACGTAGCCTCCCACGGGTAGCAACACCAAACATTACCGACTGTCTCAGCAGCAAGATAGCGGCCCTCATCCATCATGTCTTTGGGAAGAGCTCCTCTCTTGGGCTTATCCTTGTTCTATGCAGTCCCTAATATTAGCCAAATATCACTCTCGTTTGGTTTTTCTCTTGGAAACGCACATGAAGGACAAAGATGTAGAAGTTTGTCTTCTCGGTGGAGCCCAGTTTCTTGGCCTGAGCCTCAACATCCTTACTCAGCTCTTGGACGGCATACTGCAATGTAGTCCTGGTATCGTCGACCTCATCTACAATGAGAATGTTCTTTCCGATCAAGTCTGTGTTCTTCAACGAAGAGAAGTCAAGCCACTGAGTCCTGGTGACCTTGGTACCGGGCTCCTCCTCGGGGCCATCCTCTGAAACGAGCTTCTCATACAACGAAAGCCCGATAGCTTGAATCGGGATGTTGGGAGATCCAGGGGTCTTCAAAAATGATCTTAATGAGTGAGTCAGTATAAATAATATGTAGCAACTGGGTAGGCATTTGAAGAAACTAACCGAAGAATTCGGGCAGGTACATATCCTCCGCCGCCAATACTGAGGAGAGTTAGCAAATAAACGACCTTGACATCTAGCCTTGGAAGGAGAAACATACGCAATCATGAGATTTGGCTTGAACTCCTCGAGTATCCTTTCAGCAGAAGCCTGACAGAGCTTGTGGACCTGGTTATAGGTGATGTACTTCCTTTCAACGGCCATTTTTGATGTTTGTAGAGATGAGAAGTGATGAGAAATTAGCTGTAGATGAAAGGGTAAGAAGAAATGTTGGTTTGAATGCAAGACAAGGCGAGAGACGTGGGGATGTAGAGGTCTATTATCAGAAGGCTGCAGGAGTACCTAGTTTTACACAGAGCCATCTCCTGCACTCTTCAAAGGGGAAAAAAAAAAGAAAAAAGACACAAAAAATTGCCCCGCGATCATGATTCCAAGCTAAGCCATATTAGCTCATCGGCTTGGCTCTTAACCCCGCCAGGGCAAGGGTGCATGGTGAACGGCAGGAAGATGAGAGGCTGTCGGCGAGATCCGCCCGCTGGGCTCCCCCGTGTCCGAATCCTTGGGCGGAGCTTCGGAGTTCTCCTCATCTGCACTACCGCCAGCCTCGGTTGGGCCGATTGTGGGGCTGGGCTAGGGCTTCTTTAAAAATGGCGATGAGTCATGTGACGATAGGATCATGGTATATCACTCGTTGGTTCAATGACATGAACTTTGCCTACGATATTATTGACTGTATACACCAGTTTGCTGCGGGTAACTGACATACGGGGTTTTGGAATCTATTTGAGTTTGGGTTTCACTAGCTATTCCCAGTCGCGCAGATTTGTATGCTGATTTACGATGACCAATACCGATGCTTGCAAGCCTCTTACGTATAAGATTTCGATCTCATCGGAGAAAGAATGCCTTGAGACAGGATAAGATGATAGCGCTCACAATCATAATTATGCTCTGCGCCTGTCCATATATACTACGCACGTGTAACCAGCCATACCAAAGCTTTGGATCTGAGCACTCTGTGTAGAAAGTGACGGCCATTATTACCGTCACCGCTGTCGCCATAGTAACGGTCTAACGTGGTCTGTAAGTTGAGGATTGAATATGCCGACCGCTCTGTCTCTGCTTCGCCAAGAAATACAAGATAGGGATACAACCTTTACTCTTATTGATACATACCAAACACATTTCAAGGTCTTGAGGTACGTAAATACATATTCATAGTTATGAGATATAAGGGCTTTTGGGACGAGAATGGGGGTGATTATGTTGTGTGAAGGTACATATAGGTTTATACAGCTGTCAGTGTTATCATATTTCAAACTGTTTAGAGTAAAATTCCTTGCGAGTATCGGATCGCCGGGGATTTGTGGTAAGTATTTTGAAGATAATTTGCCCTCTATTCTACTGGCACAACCCACACCACCTTACTCCAAAAGCGCAACACAGACCAAAGGAAGAAATGGTGGTTTGTGGAAATAGGTTCAATGCAGGAGCGCTTTCGCTGATTGATAAATTAATCACGATGCGCTTCGTAGGGACGGCTGGTATTGGTGATGTCGTCTAGGCATGTGGTTGGAGGTGGTTCTATACCCCAAGAGCGCAGGGAAAAATGAGGTGGCTTAGCCTAGTGGTAAATCGTAGTCAGTGAGCCTCCGGATCTTCCTTCTGTTTACTATCACCAGCACGGGGAGGGGGGCTGTAGATGAACATGAATGGAGAGGGAGGGATGGATGGATGGATGGAGAGACGAGAATCTATGCCAATGCCTGGTTGCTATGCAACATCCTAGGAGGGTAGCATTTTATAATCATACAATATCACTCGCGCCAAGAAATACACTTCTCGCTCTGCAATCCTTGGCTAGCAGCTCAGCCCATGACCATATCACTGACCTGGACTAACCATGATCTTCTATCAATCTAAAAGAGGGTGGCCAGCTGTGGGTCATGATGTACGTCGTGGTAGATTCATGTCATGGGTTCAGCCCCGAGGGGTGGGAGTCTATACTGGCGTTGTGTGTAATAAATGGCACTCACCCCCCTGAAAAGCACATTCTTCAGCAAGACTTTTTGTTTTTATTAGTTTCTCGTTAAGTTTATTATATGTAGTTGTTTCCACCCTCTTCTCCCATAACGTAGCTCATCGTTAGACTCCATTCAATTAATGGACAGGGCCGGATATAGGGGGTTAGGGTTTAGCGAAACTTTTCCGATCTATATTCTTTTATAGAATAGTAGATACTCGCCCAAATATCTGCATCTTGGGGTTGATCTTACCGATTAAACACTTAGAACACGGAGACCTTTAACGGGATCGAGTTTGCGCGATCAGGTGCAAGACGTGGGGTCAATAACAATCAACTCCTAGTACAATACTAGAATCCTTCTACTTACAAAACTACATGTAAATATACATGTATATATGCACCTCTGCAGTCTCTCCTTAGGATGTAGTAGGCTGTTAGCTAAGGAAGAATTACTGTTATGACCGGTCAGTACGGCTGATGATCATACTAACTCCAGTGGTGCAATTGGCTAGAACACACGGGTAGGTCTTTTTCTTTTTCCTTTTTGCTAGCTATTATTATGACTGGCGTAAGGTTATCTGGCCTGTAGCACCTATACCAAGTTCCGATCAATCCCATCCACTCGTATATCCATGAAGGCATGGTTCACTAAACATGATCTCTAGTGGGACTGGCACTTTTTTAAGAATATTGTGTAGCTAGTAGTTTAATTTCATAATATGAAATGGGTATCTCTTTCTTATCCTCCGCGAATATTAAGACTCCACCCGTCAATCCTCATGGTACAATCGCAGAATCTAGCACAAGATTTGTGGTAGTCATAAAAGTACATATTATCCACTCCTTAACCCTATATTTGGAAATATGTGGACAGGGCTGCACATGACTAAATATGAAGGACGCCAGCGCCCTCAGGCACGCCAGGCACTCATTTTGAACATCCGTGTTTATGAGTCATCCACTCTCCTCTTCTTGTGACTCCTACCTTCCTTTGTATCCGTTGTTTTGGTCTCGCTGCCGCCTACAGCCTCCCCAGCCATTTTTTTGGCGCACCACGCAGCCCCATACTCCAGGTATTCCGCCCTTGTGACCTGTCTCCTCTTCATCTCTGCCTTATCCAGTGCCAGCGCTACGCCACCTTGCCAGGCGTATGTGATTGGATTCTCCGGCTTCGCAATCCTTACAATCGCATCCGAGGGTGCAAGAGGCTGTAGCTCGCTCTGCAGCCGCTCCAAAAAGCCGGGGATATTAGCATTGCCGCCTACAACTACCACATTTGCCAGTAATAGGTTCCGGTAACGTTCCGGCACACTTTCAAGCGACTGAATGACAGTTTCCGGGATACCGGATTGTTTGAGTCCTACATCAGTCGGCGAGAAGAGTAATTCTGGCACAGTAAATCGTTCGTTCCCCAATACCATAACCTGCTCGTCATCCCTGGCAGGTCCAAGCTTCTTTGGAATATGGGCCCGCTGATGCCCAAGCTTGCCAGAGTTATAGTCAGGAAGAACATAATCCACTACGATGGGATTGGCTGAGTTTTTAAGTGCCTTGCATTTCTCAAGATCGCCCGAGAAGTCTGTAGATATATAACAGACGGACTCTTTGACCTGATTGACCAAATAGGGTTCTTCCATCATGTTGTAGGTCCGTAAGGAGACCATTTCTTTAAGGTAGTTGGTTAGGAACTTCCCGCCGACGTCGATACGGCGTACACCCGAGTTCCAGAGCTGGCCGTTGATTATCGGGGTTACGTGGGTATGGGAGAAACCGGAGTCGATAACGAGGCATGCTTCGGCGGGGGGTTTAGTGGAGGGGTTATAGTCAGGTGTGTGCAGAGCACCGATGTTGTTCCAGGGTATCAAGGTTGGACCTGGATGGGAACGGTTAGCGGGTCAAAGTGGGGAGGGAATGGCTGGTGGGAGATAGACCTACGCAACGATAGTAGGCACTGAACTCGTATTCTTCAAAGACCATTTGGTCGCAATTTGATTGTAGAGCTGACGGTGCATTAGGAGCCTCAGTGAGTAAGAGAACTGTTTCCCTAGGATCGCACTGTTTGGAAGTTAGATTTAAATGGTTTAGACGAAAGCCTTGAGGACTTATGTACTTGTAACTTTGAATCTGAATCTAGAAAGGTCCTGTCCCATATTTCCTTCTCTGCCTCCCAGTTCACCAGATAGCCCTTTGGCAAAGATAGTTAGCTGGAAACGAATCATGGATCATCGCAGAGGGTGAACGTACCTTCTCGACAGGCCTTCGGAATGACATAGATCCAAAGTCTCGACAACTCTCCAGCTGCTGACCAACCAGCACGCGTTTGTCTCTTGCGCGGGCAAGACAGTTTGGGACCTGTAAGCAATCCCCTGGAACCGCATTTTCAGTGGCGAATCCAGCTTTGATTGTGTATGAACCGTTGTCCACTACGAGCGTTTTTGTGGGCTTTGGAGGCATATTGTATGGCTTGTCTACTCTCGCCGGGATAGTAGGGTAGGCGGATAAAAATGAAATAGAGGGTATTGCTGTGCTGCGCCGTTGTGGGCCTCGTCGTGGTTCAATGGCGATGTTTTTACTTGCTTACCTGCGCTGCTGGATTACAGGCCCTGACACCGCAGCAGAGGCTCAAGTGCGCAACCCCGACGGCACCCGCCAAACCCCTTCCGTCACCCCTACATAGAAATTGGCTAGGATCTTTTTCTTTGCTGATTCAAGAATGACCAGAGAAGTTTAAAAAGACCGCGAACGTCCCTTTTTTATAAAAATACCACCCCGCGTCTTCCCCCCTCTCCACACCCCCAATATAAAAGTCTACATAAAACAGTTCTCGAGAATACCTTAAAACACCAACGCGTTCTCTCCTACCGCTGCTTCACTAGGTTTTACTACTTCTTCAAATATGTCAGATCGTGAATTCGGAGGAGGTATATTACTGCACCCCCATCCATCCATCCCTTTGCTTTTGTTTGACTTGCCGCTTTTCTTATCCCCCTTCCTATTCCCCCCACAGCTACATAGCTACCTCCCCATAGCTTCAGTACTATGAACTAATAGCTGTCTCTCTCTCACCTATTAGCGGATGACCTATCCCTCCCTAAAGCCACTGTCCAGAAGATCATCTCCGAGATCCTCCCTTACGACCTCGCCTTCGCCAAGGATGCGCGCGACCTCCTAATCGACTGCTGCGTCGAATTCATCACTCTTATTTCCTCGGAGGCCAACGAGATTGCCGAGCGCGAAGCGAAAAAGACTATCGCGGCTGAACATGTCATCCGAGCCCTTAGGGACCTCGGCTTCGAGGAGTACATCGACCAGATCCAGAATGTGGCGCAGGAGCATAAGGAACATCAGAAAGTATTACCCCGGCGGCTGGCGTGCATGTGGATGATATAAGATCGCACTCAGATGATGCTGACAATTACGAGCAACAGTCCCGCGAAAAGAAACAAACGAAGCTCGAGCAGTCCGGGCTGTCGCAGGAAGAGCTCTTGAGGCAGCAGGAGGAGCTGTTCGGGTCGGCTAGGGCCAAATTCAACCAGCAAGGCCCTGGCCAGGAGTAGACGCCACCACCCACCCGACATTGATACGAACGTAATAACGGGTGTATTGAAGGATTGATAGACTAGGATGGGTAGTATGACGCGGAAGGAATATTTTCATAGAGATCTACCGGTGGATCGATCTGACCGCTCTCTCTACTCTCTCTTCTATTACTTACCAAGGAAGCAGGAGGGCTGATATCCATGTTAATAACGGGGGTTTTTGTTTTTTTTGTTGTGCGTTTTATTTTCGGAATTAACGGCGCAGTAGTGTTATGCAGTCTTTGGTTTTTTGGTTGACTTGGTTCTTTCTGGATTGCCGGTTACTCTTTTATTATTATTATTATTTCTTTTAAACCGGGGAGATGGACGGAGTATAGGGTACTAGGATGTTTCTTATACTTTCTTCTGGGGAAGGGCCTTGGTGTCCCTAATTCCTTGTACAAAGAACGATGGAGGTTCATCATAATATCACTCTCTGGTAGGGGAAAGAATATAATTCCTCAATTTATTTGTGTTAAACAGCAAGCGGGTGTCTCGGGTTTTCTGATTAGTCTGCAATGGATTTTAGATGTGCACGAGTGATATACTATGATGAACTGTGTCTCACATCACATCACATTGGTTAATTGCCACCAAACTGCAAGAGTATCTTCACCAATATGAGCAAAATATACACTCCGTGGCTAGCCCCTTAGACGAAACTACCCAATCTACGTGCCAGCGCCGGATAAATTATGCCTAACTTCATCGAAACCCATTCGCTGCCAAACACCACCGATCATCTCAAGAAGCCTCAAAAACTCGTCATCGTGGATGGCGTTTATGATAAAATCTTCAACTTGCCTGAATTCTTCTTCTTCATGTGTACGGAGATGATCGCCCCTTTGTTTTTTCGGTTCTTGCTCGTCTTTATCGTCGTCATCGTCTTGTTTCCGCTTCCCTCCTCCTCCTCCTCCTCCTCCTATGTTGGGATTTCGAGCGCCTGCAGTAGGTGTAACTGTAATATCACCGGCAGCTTTCTGCCTTTCCTGTGGGACGGCCGGCAAAAAGGTCTCGGACCTAAGTTCCGGCTTTTTATAGCCACGTGGGAACACTGGAAATCCTCCGCGATCTTTTGTGTCGTTCGCCCTAGCATGTTCTTCAACAATCTCGGGCAACCCGGACCTATAACCTCCCACTCTAGTTTTCGTGGCTAATCCTTGATTGTCACTCTGCTGTTGGAAGGCGCTAACCCCAGGCCTAGGTCTAGAGGAATGTTTGAAGTCAGATCCATGATATGCAGGTATATTATCACTAGTAAAGACTAATGAGGGCGCTTTTTTCACTGGCGTTGGTTTCGGGAGTGGCGGGAGACTGCCAATCGCATCCACCAGAGCTCCATTGTTGATGGGATTTGTCGGATTCTGCACGGTGGGTTTTCTAGATAGAAAGCTGGATGGCGGGCGTGGTGGTGGAATATCATCTTCCAGAAACATATCAGAAGGCTTTACTGTGCTAGGATGCAGATTCTGTGGAGCAAAATATGAAGGTGCTGAGTGAGGATCGTTTGTTTGTTGAAAGTTACTGGGCGTACTGTTGGTTGTAATTACACTAGCTTATAATAAGTACAGGTCGATGAGAAAACGTCTTTCCGGGCGAATCGATCCCTCAAGCAATATAACTCTTGGGCTTTTGGAGAGAAAACAGACCTCAGTGTGTAGCCCGAAGAAGATCCAGGTGGAGTACGTAACACTTGGATAGTATTATTACGGAGAGGGACTGGTGGGCCTGCCTGTGCAAACTGAAACTGAGAAGATGGCTCGTGTTTATCTGCTGGAGGTGTGCCAATTGGGCAGTTTGCTTGCTCGAGAAGTGCTGTGGCCGATTGGTAGGCGGTATCCGACTGAAATTTGATTTGAAATCGGCGAATCTAAAGTTCGGTATATATCAGTAGACCCTTCTGGAAATTAAATTCGTTTGCTAAATTATATGTTACTAACGGTTTGGTCTTCTGCTTTATAATATTTAATGGCTAGAGATGGCGAGCGCCCAAGTGCCATGAAAGCCGGCTTATGGAACTGTGATGAATCATGAGACGGGATAGTCTGTTTAGCTAGGCTTGTCAAGTCTAAACTCTCCTACTTTAAAGTATCAGAGTCAATTTTCTCTGGCTATGCTCCAAACTTCGACTAAAGATGAATCTCACCATTGTCTCGAGACCCCATACGACTTTCAGCCTTGTATGCTTGTCAACAAATTTTCCATCGTTCTGAATGTATCCGGGAACACGATGAGTATCGATCACCAGAAATACATTGTCCCTGTGTGGGAAGTGTGACCATGGAGGGTGGGCCGAGTCTGATACTGAGGAAGCAGAAGAGGAATACTTTAGGAGCGGCCAACTAGACAATGAAAGAGGGGAATTGACTGCCGACAGAGGGAGCTTCCGAGAATCCATGCTGAGCATGTATGACTGTGGGAAGAGTAACAAAAGTTGCTTGTCCTGGTCTATGCAAGACTAGGCCAGTAATGCAGTTGAGTTGCAAAACATGCATGTATTTAAAGTTTTCCTATCCCTACATGCAGAATAATAAGGTTTGTGTGTATTAAGCGGATTGATACCAAGTACCGATAAATGGCATGAATGCAATTCGGACGTAGAACATATTTTACTTTACAGGTAGGTACATTGTGTAACTTGGATCTCGACAATCACAATAGATCACTCGACGCAAGAATGAGAGAATGCAAAGAGCATTTAGGGTAAAATACATGTGTATCGGTAAGGGCGAGCTCTAGTATTTGATCACTCTTGAATTCGTTTGTGGTTGAGTACATGCCCATGTATTAACACCCCCTTCAACTCCTGCGTGTATCACGTGGTGTGAACGCTCACAGAGTGAGTTGTTTCACCTCCTCTTTAAACCTCCACCTAGACTCTGAATGTGTGTAAGGCACGCAGCTCTTTGCAACCCCCCAGTTTCTTGGCAAAGTCCCCGGACCTGATAAGGCTGGATGCATGTATTTACTTGTTCATGTCTATTTTGTGGTATGCAGCTGGCATGCAATGTGAAAGGGCTCGGCGTTAAAGCAACCTCAATTCAACTCAACTCGGAAAAGGAGCCTCAATCAGGACGCGTTTTCTCGTCGCTTTCAGAGTCGTCGCGGTCTTGCTCGTGTTTTCCTTGTCCAGTGAACTCTTTAAACCCACTGCTGTTCCATAGGGTCGCGTTTCCCCTGCCATTCTTACCCAGCCCAAGCGTGTCGATCGATATAAAGCGCAAGTTCAGAAAAGCGAAGAAAAGGGAAAAAGAAAAGAAAAGGGAAAAAAGGAAAGAAAGAAAACATTTAGTAGAAGAACGAGAGAGGGAGAGAGGGAGAGAAAGAGAGGAAAGGGGATAATCTAAATGTCAGAAAGCTCAATGGCAGCGCCAACACCCGAGCGCGAGCGCAAAGGGCCATGGGCAAACAGAGTTCTCAGTACCGACATCGAAAAGACGCCTGAATACGACGAGTTCATCAAAAAGCTATCCGAATACCACGAGAAGCGAGGGTTGGTTGCTCCTTAGGGTCTACTTTGGCGTAGAAAACGTTTTGGTTTGGTTTGGTGCTCTTACTAACTCTTTCGCGACTGAACCTCCTAGGACCACACTCACCATCGAGCCTGAACTCGGACGGAAGCTCCTTGACTTGCGAAAACTTTACGAGAAGGTCACGGCTCTAGGAGGTTACGACAAAGTGACTGAAGAGAAGGGTAAGATATTGGATGTTAAATACCCTATGGCGATGGAAACAGAGGAGCGGGGAGTGGACAATTGAGGTTGACGTTTTTTTCGCGAAATCACAGGTGCCTGGAGAGATCTTGCGCTACAGTACAAGCTTGCTGCGAACAACACCAACGCAGGTTACCTTTTAAAGACGATCTACTACAAGAATCTCGCGTACGTTCCTCCCCATCTAATCCCTTTGTTGCCCCAACTCTGTGATAGCTAAGATACAGAGCCCCACAGCGCCTACGAAATTTCAAATTTCTTCGGGAAAGAGCCCCCCCCAAAAGAGTGGTTAGAGGAGCGATCCGCTGCTGGAGGGTCAATCATGACGAGAACCGCAGAAGATTTTCAGGCGCCTTCGCCAAAGTCTGAATCAAAAGCAGAGAGGTCTCCAACCCCACCACCCACGGAGAAGCGAAGTATGTTATTGTGGTTATTGCCCTATTTCCTGTCATCTTTCCTAATCTTTAATGTCGGGATTATCCCACAGGTCTACGTCAAGCACCGACACCAAGAACTTTTTATAATCCGGATACGACTTCTCAGCGCCATAACCCACCCAGAGCCACAAGCTTACAGCACCAACAGCAGAACTCCCAGCAGTCGCAGCAGCAGCAACAGCAAAGCCATCAAGTGTCACCTGGTAACCAGTGGAACGGAAGCGCCATGAATTTCCCCAATTTTTCATCCAACACGGTCAATGCGCCCATTGGAATGCCTGTACCAACACCTAGAAATGCTCCACATGAGTTTATCACTCAGAAAAGGAAAGCCGAACAGTATGCCGCAACAACAAATATGGCTAGGTTTGGAGGTAACTATTCCTTCCTATTCTTCTTCTCCCTGGTGATGATAACGGTGCATATACTGATGGATAGAGCATTTAGTCGGTCACACAGGCCCTAGCAACATGACACGCATTGCAATGGGGTTGAAATCCGGCTTGCCAGAAGAGGTCGACTTTGCTTTGAGCCAATTGGTTAAAACCTCATACGAAGCCGGCGATGACCTCCGTGCTGAACAATTCCCTGGTTTAGCTGAGGCGCTGTATGATAAACTACAGTCAGTTACTCGTCTGATGAAACTACACTCTCTCAACGGTAGCGAGGAAGTCCTGGAGGATCCTGCATTCACGAAGCAGCTTGAAAAGGTCAATGAAGCGGCTTTGATATTACGCAACATGTCCTTCCAGGTGGACAACGCCAGATACTTTTCACGCCTCAAGAATGCTAGGTCTATCATAGTCGCGGGCCTGAATCTCCCCAACCAAACCTGTTTTATGGAGTTAAAGCATTATATCCTCGATATGGTCGAGTCGATGGCTACCCACCTCGTGCTTTCAACGCACGATAACATGTTTGAGGCGCTGCATGTCAATTTATTATCAGATGACCGTGGTCTGCTTTTGGGGTCACTCAAGTCAATCTGTAGATTCGTCATGGGACGTGACGAAAGTAACCGCTTGGGAGAAATTGGCATGGATGCCATCAACCGAATACGCAATCTTCTAATGCTTGAAGATGAAGACTTGGTTTCTGCTTGTTTGGACTTTTTGTACCAATACACTACTAACGAGGAAAACGTCGAGAAGCTTATGCAACCGCCTGATGGTATCGAATTGATAAAGCAGTTGATGAGATTGTTACTCTACCAAGCCATTCCCGGCGAACAGACTGTGTGGCTGAAGACTAGAATACCTCGCCCAACTCCGCCTAGAGAGATCCCGAATCTTCCACAGGAAATCGTCAATGACCTCCTAACTTATATGGAGCCAGAAAGAGCAACCAAGTGGTGAGTTCCATTTTATTTAACCCCAAATCAGTAATTTCTAACCCCCATACCAGGATGAGATGCTGTTTTGAAGAAGACCCAAACTCGGATATCACCCAAATCGCGCTTTGGCAGGCCTACCAAGCCCGCTTCAACGATTACGTCCCGGCTGGCCGCAACCTTCTCCCCGCCGCTGAATTTATCAAGAATGTCAGCATCGCGTTCTCTGTTGCTTCCGCAATGGTCTTGACTCTCCCCACAGGCGGTCAGAAGTTTATCATCAAAGGTATCAGAGCTAGAGAGACTCCAATGTCACTCAAAGGCCAGATCTACGTTGCTTGCAAATGGATCGACACCACCGGCAATGGCTCTAGATGTCATGCACAGCTTCCGACGCCTCAGGACCTATGGGTTCATGTATTGAACGATCATATCGGAGCTCCGACGGATCCTGGGAGAAAACTGCACTGCAACTGGGGCGGATGCGGAAAGTATAACCATCAAGCTGGAGAAGAGGACCGCAGGAAAGTCATTGGACATGTCCGGACTCATATTCCTGACTTGAACGATCTCCGCGCTGCCCGAATCGCTGGAATGGAGGATGTTGACGGCGGCATCGGGGGTGATGAGGAGCCGAATTCGAAGGTCATCATCAGGAGAAACCAAACTGGCATTGATGATCGCGGGGAGGCGGCAGGAATCCCATTAACTGCCGCCTTAGTATTAAGGAACATGGCCAGGAGGGGTATGAACGATGTTAGGGAAATTTTGGGGGCGGAGAGGGGAGCGTTATTTGAAGTTATGGCAGTCAATAAGCCCCTTGCGGCTTATGTTGCCGATCTATTAGTGGAGGACGGTATGGTTACTGATGATTAGGTTACACATTGTAGAAAAGTATTTATGCGGAATGAGGGCCACGGTTTAGAATGGATTGGGATGCCGTAAGTGGTTTTGAAATGTTGGCCGTGAAAGTATCTATCACTGTCTACTATACCATTAATCGACTGTGCATAATGCATTTTTTTTTTTCTTTCTTCCTTTAATTTTTTTTATTTTTTTTTTTTATTTCTATTCAAAAAGTATCAGCTTGTTTCGACATCGGTTTACCATGTTTGTTTCGTTTCAAATATGGCTTTCAAGCCGAGAATCAAATATGTGGTTGTCAGTACATGCGAATCGCTATTACATGTAGTCACTATGGTGTCAATGGTAGACGGTGGAAACAACTGGATAGTCTGGTCTATCATGAGTTATATGGGTATATAATGACAAATTTGTACTGTAATCAAGTATGCCAGCAGTCTATGTCTGTCTATGTCTCTGAAGCCAAGAAAGCAGCCCATATTTCCAACATTCAACGATAACAATTTGTCGAGTGATAATTCATGATGATAACCACAGGCTTGAACTGCTACCTGTGTGTGTGTGCACTTGAGTATTATTTATTTACCCTGTCTCAGGATTCGGGAGGGATGGCTGAAAGCAGAAGCTTAAACAATCACAACAACGTTTACCCGGATACAAGTAAGCCTGGGGGAATTGTGGGGTACAACGACAGTTCCCTGGGAATCACATGCACAATGATCATGGGGTAATAAAGCGATGCTGGATCGCGAGTCAACTGGGCGACGACCTCTGTACTCCAAGCTACATATATGTATGTACCTGGTACATACATGGGGAAGCTTTGTTTGCGGATACCCATGCAGCCCTCACTCGTAATCATTCCCAATGGGGTAAATGGTCTGGTTATTATTAGTGAGAGGTAAAGGTAAACTGAAAGTGTATTCTAAATCAAACGTTGGGGGTGACCTTGTTGTATCCAGTGGTTAATCTTTGTTGTTGCAAACGTACCTGGGTTAGGTTGTCATCTGCGGTGTGAATTGAGCTCTTGGACCGGAGGCACGAGGGCCTGTGTGGCACAGTCACTTTGCCACGGCCTTTTCGGTGTTGCAGGGGGGGTGGGGAGGGTTTGTTTTTTCCGTTGTATGTAAGGCGGAAGATATGTTGTTGCACATGGTTTTCTAGAAAGTCCGAGTGCCAGATCATCATCACCAACAAGGCAGGCAAGTGCTGTTGAATTTCGCAGGATTAACTAAGGCGAGTATGGGTTTTCTTTTCTTTTTCCTTGTGCGTAGTTAACTGAGCAATATTAATGGCAATTGTTTCACCGGCTGTAGTTTTTTTAATAACGGGTAAATAAATGTTGTGTTCGGCCATGGGCATCGAGTCGAAAGCTCGATGGCCAGCGCAACATCAGGCAGGCCGGCAGGCCCTTTGGACCCTTAAATACCAAACCCAAGGCGGGAGAGGTGGGGATTTCATGTACTCCAGGGCGCCGTGCAGCTTGGGTCCTTTGCTGGTCTAAGCTTAGTGTAAAGGGGAGAGGCGTTTTATTTTGGTTAGCCTTAATCCACGGGTAACTGCTTTTTTTCTCTTGTGTGTCTTTCTCTCCTGCAAACGTGAGGGAGAACGAGGAAGATCGATGTGCGTGAGTGTATAAACACTGCCTAAGTGAGCGTGTATCGACAAGTCTGAACGAACGAACGAGGGAACGAATCTCTTACTTCTCTGACATTCTCTACTGTACTGTCATCTAAGGACGTCGAGTCCCGTTCGTTCACTCCCATTCTTACCTCCGTCCAATCCCATTCTTGTTCAGCCTCTCTTCCTACCAAGGTCCCATCTTTCGTGTCTATCTCATCTGCCATTCAGTCATACATCATCATCATCATCATCATCATCATCCCATTTTATCAACGTCCCTCCCACCACCACTACCCCCCAATATCTCCCCCCCCCTCCCCCCTCCCTCTCCCCGATCTAGGATAGAGACTTTGCTGCTGCTGCTGTCTATCGGTCATCTAGTCATTTGCCATCTCCTACTCGCCAGTCTCTACTACCCTCACCCCCCACCCCACAATACTTATCCCGCTGTTGCATCTGCTGCTGCTGCCGCTACTTCAGACTAGGCCGGCGTAGTTACTTTATACTTACAGCCTGTCTCATCACCAGCTCACATTTACCTACCATTCCTCCCCACCACCCCCGGTCCCCCCCCCTAGTCCGCTATTAAACAACAAATACACATCACATATCTTTCCCCACTAAAAGGGGACAATGACGGAGCAACAGCGGCCGCTATTCGACAAGAGGAACTCTTCGACCTCGTCCGTCCTCAGCGGGGGTAATGGAAATGACAATTCCAATACCACCACCGACCGAGACACGTCCTCAAACGACGAGCAGGCCCAGGCCACCCACCAGCCCTCTCGGCAGCACCACCCCAAGAAGCACCAATTCGTCGTCGGCGGCGCACACTCTCGCCATCACACCCGCGTCCCGTCCTACGGGCGCAATTTAAACAAGCTGGGGAAATTGGCCCCGATTGCGACATCTCCGGGCAGCGGTAAGGCGCGTGGGGAGGAGAAGGGCAGGTCCTCGGCGAAGCGGGCGACGTTCGAGCTCGGCGGAGACAACCGCCAGAACAGCAACGGAAACAGCAGACCAAGCAGCTACAAGGAAGAAGGAGGGTACACAAACGGAAACGCAACGAACACGAGCAACGGGACGCCGCCGCCGCTCACCACTGTTGCTACCAACAAGGGTACAAACGGCTTGGTCAAGTCATCAAGCACAAAGTCTCTTGACCGTAAACCAAGAGACGGCGCACGAAGACTAAAACGAGAAGAGAAGCGCGAGAGATCACAATCCAAATCCCGCGACACTGTACCCCCTCCTCCTGCTCCTGCCCCTGCCCCTGCTGCAAGCCGTCACCACTCTGCCGAAGAAGTGTTTGTCGAGATGAATAACAAACGCCAGACCGAAGCGCAGCCACAGACACAGACACAATTTCAGCTCCCTACCCCACCGCAGGCAAAGGTTCAACCACCACCGCCGCAACACCAGAATCAGCACTTTCAATCTCAGCATCCATCGCATGCCCCAACGCATGCCCCGACGCATCTGCTCCAGCATACAAAGGCTGGTGGGGCCGCACCTCCCAAGGTCAGCGTTGAGTCCGTGCAGGGCACCCAGCCAACCGTGTCGACCAAGATCCGGCGCACAACCGCGCAGCAGAACGGAGCCTATGTAACCCCTGCGCATTCCCTTCCAGACTCGCATGAGCAACCCCTGACATCGCGATTCATCGATTCCTCGCTGGGAAACTCAAATTCGATATCGCCCTCATCTGCAGCAAAGGCATACGGGCTGTCGCCGGCGTATCGGGAAAGCCTGCCCACAATAGTGTCAACCCCGCCTGACAAGGCGCCGGTTACACCTAAGATCACATCGCCCAATCCCGCATCGGCAACCGCAACTGTACCCTCGCGCACGCAGCAGAAGCTATGGCTTCAACGACAATCATCGCAGCACGAGGCCCCTCAACATGTTCAGAACCAAAACAGGATGGGACCTGGGTCGGAGTGGTATGCGCTGCAACCACGGGCCCAGAAGGAGTTTGAGCGCGTAAACAGAGAGTACCTGAACACGCGGCGTTTCAAGAATCCCGCCGCACAGAGCATTGAAAGGATTCGGGATAAGCATGCCGACCGGCGGATCCCGAAGCGCAAGGAGGGGCAGTGCGCGGAGGGAGCGGGGGCAATGGGATTGAGCCAGTCGCTGAAGGAGACGGGGGCAACCAAGTCGGCACGGAAGGAGCTGAAGATGGGCTCAAAGGACGACTCGGGGGTGAAGCAGACGGCGACAACGAACGGGAAAGAACGGGATAGGGCAGAAGGGTTGCACGCAATATTGGTGAAGCTGTGGAACACAAAAGAGATGATTCCCTCCAATGAATAGTTCCCCCCCCCCCCTTCCTTCCTTCCATCCATCATGTTCTTACTCTTCTGTATTCTCCCTCGTTTTTGACGATTATTCCTGAGAGAGAGAAGAAGCTTACTTGTTTATTTTGCGCATGCACGAGGGGTTCTCTCTGTTGGTTCTTTTTTTTTACTCTTTCTCTTTCAATGCATTTATTTGCTTTGTAATTTAACGTCCTTTTTCTCTTTCTCTTTCTGTGTTTGCTGCTCTTTTATTTGCGGCATTGCACACACATTACGAGCTGTATGCGGTGGGTTGAGGTGGCATTGGGGTTGGGGTTGTTTGGGGGGGGGGGGGGGGGACTACCGTTTTGCCCGAGGAGTCTGTTTATTTTTTTGTTTTATTATATCATTCGTTTTGAAAATTACGGCGTGTAAGATTAACATTCAAGAGTCCTCCTGATCCTACGGGGAAAAAAAACGAGGGAAGCAGGAAAAAGGGATGGGATGGCGAGACGAGACGATTTGCTAGGTGTCCATGACATTCTATATTTATACCATCTTTCTACATTTTGCATCAAGAGGTGAGGGGAGTGAGTGAGGGGAGAGAGAGAGAGAGAGAGGAGGGAAAGCAAGAGAAAAAAGCCAATACAGAAAGGTATCATGGGATTAAATGACGCACCCCACTCTCCAACCTACCAAAACATCTAAAACCCACCCACGCCACCAAAAGCACCCCACCAGCAAGCACCCCACCACTCACCACTCAAAAGCCAGAGCACCACAGCTCACAACAACGCAGTGATGTACTCGTCGAGCTCCCTATACGCCGCCTCCAGATCGTCATTGACAATGATCTTGTCGTGCGCGCCGGGCTCGGCCGCATACTCCAGCTCCTTCTCCGCCTGCGTCAGGCGCTTCTGCAGCGAGTCGGGCGTCTCGGTGCCGCGGCCCTCGAGGCGCGCTTTGAGCGCCTCCATGCTGGGGGGCTTGAGGAAGACGAATTTGGCGTTGAGGTCGGTCTTTTTGACTTGTTTTACGCCCTGGTGTTCGTGGTGTGTGTGTGTTAGTGGTGGTGGTGAAAGACGGTGGATATCACATTGCTCTCAGTAGATAGCACCCCCCACTACCCCCAGTATACAGCACCCCCGCCCCCAGTAGGTATACAGATAGATGGACAGATAAACAGAGGGAGCCATACCTCCATCTCGATATCCAAAATGCACACGAGCCCCTTGGCAGCCACGTCCTTGACGGCCTTAACGCTCGTGCCGTAGCAGTTTCCGGAGAACTGGGCATGCTCGATGAAGGCGTTCTCGGCCACGAGGGCCTCGAAGGCCTCGCGCGTGGTGAAGTGGTACTCGACGCCGTCGGTCTCGCCGGCGCGGGGGAGGCGGGTCGTGTCTTTTGCGTCCGGGTTGGTTGGTTAGTGTCTGTATATGTGTAGGAAAAGGAAAAGAAAAAAGGGGGGGGGGGGGGGGAGGGGAGGTACGAGAGACAGAGAAGCCAAAGGTGCCCGGGTGGGCGGCGAAGAGGCGCTTGAGGAGGGTTGATTTGCCGGTGCCGGAGGGGCCGGAGATGACGATTGGGGGCTTTGGGGTTACTGTGCAGCAGAGCTGTGTTAGTATTCTCCATCTGCTCTATTCAATTATAATTACAGATATGAGAGAGAGAGATATATTCTCACCAGATACCATTCTTGCTACGGGGTATTTTGTCGTGCGTGTGGTTGTGGTTGTGGTTGTGGTTGTAGCGGTTGCAAGTGTGCGGAGGAGCAGCTTCGTCGTCGGTGCCGGGGAGGAGAAGGAGGAGAAGAGGGCGCGGCCCAAGAACTGCATGGCGACGGAGGGGTGTTTTGTTGTTGTTGCTGCTCTCTCTCACGGGTTCTGCTGCAACTGCACGGCTGGGGCCAATCACTCGCTCGCTCAATTGCAGACAAGGCAAATTAAGGCGGGAGGGGCAAGCAGAGATGGCGAGTGGGGGATCTCTCTGGCTGTCTGTCTGTCGGTCTGTCTGTCTCGAGTACTAGCACGGTATGTAGCTATTTACAGACCCTGAAAGAGAAAGAAAAAAAGTGCCTGTCTGCGTCGCCATTGGCCCAGCACCCGGAGATCTCGAACAGCGGGGCCCGCCACAGCTCGATTGGCGGGGTCCCTGCCAAGCACCAAGCCTGCCCCCGCCATCAGCAAAGAAACCTGACAGAAAACGTCACTTTGGGCCCCTCGCACGCCAAACCGCATTTTCCTTTTCGGTGAAAAAACCTATTCTTGCTCTGGATAAACACTTAAAAGGCCCCCTCTATGTCTCTTGTCTGCTGCTAGTAGAATCTAATTTGACATCCCGGCTGGATCAAACCAGAGTAGTTCAAGTTTAGCTTTGCAAGTTTTCCACGGTGTCTGCCCTACGAGTCTCCCGCCAGCTGCTGCCCGTCCGCCTCTTCTTCCTCCGCCGCCGCCCTCTCGATAACTACCCGCACCCGCACCCGCACCCGCACCCGCACCTGCACCCGCACGCCTACCACGCAAGACCCCTCACCACGCCCGCAATGGCCGCCTACGCAACCGAACGCCGCATCGCCGAGCTCGCCGTCCAGCGCGCCTGCCTGCTCACCGACAAGGTCTACCACTCGCGCGTCAAGGGCACCGTCACAAAGGGCGACAAGTCTCCCGTTACTAGTACTTTCCCTCCCCCCCCCCCTTCCTCTCACACACACATACTAACACCCCCCCACCCAACAGTCGCCGACTTCGGCGCCCAAGCCCTCGTCATCGGCGCCGTGCACACCGTCTTCCCCCACGACTCCATCGTCGGCGAAGAAGACGCCGAGGTCCTCCGGTCCGAAGCCGACAAGCGCGAGTCCGTGTGGGCCCTTGTCCGGTCCGCCGTCGACGACAGCGCCGCGCTGACGGGCGACATTGGCGGCGTCACGGACGCGGAGGAGATGATGGCGTTGATTGATCTGGGGAACCACGCGGGGGGCTCTGTTGGGCGTGAGTAGTCACCGCACCTACATACCTAGCTAGATAGATAGAAAACCAGTAATAGCGATCATTGGCTGATGGAAGTGTGAGGATAGGGATATGGGCGCTCGACCCAATCGACGGCACAAAGGGCTTTCTCCGCGGCGACCAGTACGCAGTCTGTCTGGCGCTCATCGTCGACGGTTCCGTCCAAGTCGGCGCCCTCGGCTGCCCGAACCTGCCCGTTGACCCTGCGCAGCCAGAGGGCGAGAAGGGGATCCTCCTCTCTGCCGTGCGCGGGCAGGGTGCCACCATCGTACGCCCCCCCTCCCCCAATCACAACCCCCCTCACTCGCACCAACTAACCCCCTTCCCCCCCCTCTAACAGCGACCGCTCTCCAACCCCTCCGCAACGCCCACGCCCATCAGCATGCGCGCCATCAGCGCGCTGTCCGCCGCCTCGTTCTGCGAGGGCGTCGAGGCGGGCCACTCCTCGCATAGGCAGCAGGCGGCCATTGCAGAGGCGCTCGGAATCACGAATAAGTCCGTCAAGATGGACTCGCAGGCGAAGTATGCGACGGTTGCGCGCGGCGTGGCGGATATCTATTTGAGGCTGCCGACGAGCGCGACTTATCAGGAGAAGATCTGGGTATGCTCCTTTCCCCCCCCCCTTGGGTGGTGGGTAGTGGTATGTGGAGGAGAGGGCTGACTGGTGGGTGACAAATAGGACCACGCAGCCGGCTCCCTCATTGTCGAAGAGGCCGGCGGGATCGTGAGCGACGCGCATGGCAACGCGCTCAACTTTGGGGTCGGCAGGACGCTGAGGGAGAATAAGGGCGTGGTGGCCGCGACGAAGAATATCCACACTGAGGTCATTGCCGCGGTGAAGGCCGAGCTGGCGAAGGCCCAGTTGTAGAGAGGGGACATGGAGTGTCACTCGGGCTAGATATAGAGAAATGGAAATGACGGGTTCTGCATCATTGTAGACAAATTATTCGGGGGGTGGTGGTGTTTGTGCTAGTGATAAACCACGACAGACCCAGAAATGATATCGCGAACAGTCTTGGCAAACCCACCGAGTGACGCCCCATGACGCCCTCCCCCAACCCAGTCAGCAATCAACGCATTGCATGAGTAATCACCCGGCCACCACCACGCCCATTAGTAGCGCACATCTCTGCATCTGTCTGTGAATTAGATGAAGCAGCCTCTCTCCCCGCGCCCTGTCAAGCAGTAAGCAAGCACGCAAGCACGCAAGCACGCAAGCACGCAAGCAGGGTAGGGAAAGAGCCGCAACAATTAACCTTCTGCAGCTATGATGTCATCGTGATGTCAAGCGGCCATGGTGATACTTATACTACAGCACCGCCGCTACCTCTCTACAATACAGCTCTAGATATAAGCTCTAAAATATCCTCCACCTCCAATTACAATTACAATTACAACTATAGATACCTGCAATTAAAAACCAAAACTCCCCATCTACTCAATTCCCCCCCAACTCACAATGCTCCCCCTCCGCCCTCTCCACCGTCTCCTCCCCCGCCTCCCCACCCGCCTGCTCAGCACCACCACCACCACCGCTCCCCAGCACGCCCAAGCCCAACAGGGCCGCCCCGTCCCCTCAAAAGACGACATCAACACCTCCAGCAAAGAGAACACGCGCAGCAGCACCAACGACGAGGTCGCGCACGCGAGCGAGGCCGCATACGGGAGGGCCACGAATCCGTTTGAGGAGAAGCAGGTTGCTGATCGTGAGGTAAGTGCTTTTTTTTTTCTCTCTTGTAGGGGGGGGTGAATTGTAGGTGGTGGGGTAGGGGGGGGGGGGGGAAGGGGATTAGGAGGGAGGGAGGGAGGGAGGAGGAAGAAAGGAAAAGGGCTGACGGGGGCGTGGGCAGGAGAAGACAACGAAGCCGGGATCCCCGCTGGAGGTTTCGCCCGCGAACCCGCAGGTGAGCCATCAGGGCGAGGAGGACAAGAGCCCCACGAGGGGCGCGAAGGATGCGAAGAGGACGTCGGGGGGGAGTCGGAATGCTACATAGAGAGAGAGGGCGGTTTTAATTAAAGTATAAAGGGGGGATGTTTTTTTGTTTTTTTATATTGTTGTTGTATAAATGCATATGGGAGAGGGTTTGTTATAAGTGACGATATATTATGCATGACCAGAGGGCCGGGTATATAATGAACAGATTGATTATTAGAGGGCAGATTTAAAGGGTCTCTCGCAATATACTGGATACCATTATCAATTGAGCTCTTTGTGAAGCTCGCAATGTTTGAAGTGTTTATTAAGTTACTGGAGTATTAATCGACCTTTAATTTACATGTAATCGACTATTATACTGTGATATCTATTAATCGATCATTTATTATAGAAAACCCCCAGCCCTCCATATCCCACACTCTTTAAAACCACCCTAGATCTTCGTCTTCAGGATCTTCAAAGAGTTCCCCCTCTTCACTTCCCTCCTCCTCCTCACGAACGGATCCGCCGCCTTGGTCCTCGCCGTTATCTTCGACGATAAAACCACCACCACCTTCATCCCCGTCGTTATCATCGACGATGAACCCACCACCACCGCCATGATCTTTGTCATCAACCATGAACCCACCGCCGCCATGATCGTTGTTGTCGACTATGAACCCCCCGCTGCTGTCCTTAGTACTAGCAATTGGCGCACCGCCAGGACCAGAAGAATGATCTTCAGCTTCAGTGAAAAATCCACCACCAGATGTCCGGACTTCAGGTTCGGCAAAGAACCCACTACCAGAGGCCTGATCTCCAGGTTCAGCAAAAAAGCCACCACCCGTATCCACATTCTCACCACCTTTGCCCTCATCCCCAGCGCGATCATTGACCCCCATGTCCACCTTATTTACCTGCTCCACGTCCTGATAAATGCCCAACCTCTCCCTGATTCTCACTCCCATCAAGAACCGTCTCCATCGCTTCAATGCCTCGATGCTCTTCTTGTGTTCTTCCGCTTGGTTCTTCTCGTCCAAAAGTGTTGCCATGACTGCCATGACCGCCTCGCGGTATTCCTGAGCGACTACAATGCCGTTCATGATTGGTGCGACCTGGCGGTTTTTGAAATCGAAACCAGTCTAAATTGGTGATGTCATTAGTATAAAGCCATCCCGAGAATAAAGGAAAGAAGGAAGGTGTCCTTACTACTGCCTCGGCATAATCGATACCCAGTAGTTGAGCAACCTTCACAAGACCCTTATCTACAAGACCCGTAAGCTTCCTGTCCACAAGCACAAGAACACCAGAAATGGAAACTCACAAGGCAAATGAACAGCTCCCTTCGGCACCATCGAAGGCACAAACACGTCCAAATTACCAAAGCTATTCTTCGGCACCCTCCCATGGACCACACTCGGCGGCACATAGAGCTCCGTCTGAAACTCGGCATACATCGCCGACTGTCTAGGCCCGTCATCTCCACCTTCTTCTTCTTCTTCTTCGGGTTCACTGTCCAGGTAGTCATCACTTCTGCCTTTTACTCGCGGGCGGGCGGTGACGTATTTGAGTGGCTGCTCCCCTGCTTTGAGTTCACGCCCCACACGGTACCATTGCTCGCTGGTCTTGACGGCTTTTACGTCCTGTCTTCTGTAGATTGTTTCGGTGACTTTCTTGTTACCGGTGCCTGTTGTGATGGATCCGACTTTCCGCTCGGGGTGTATTATTTCGCCTCGTTTTAAGTGTCTCTTGAGGGCAAACCTAGTTTCGAGATTAGTAAAACTGCTTTCGGCGAACCAAGATCTGCATGTCTTACAGAGGATGGCCTTTTAGGTCCTGGATGTTATTAGGTACGGGCTCAACGACCTCCCTGTCCAGTAATTCCGCGGCTTCTAGTTGATCTCGGTCCTAGTACGACTTAGGTCCTGCATATTTTAAAACGATGGTTGAAATGCGTACCATTTCCCATCCTCGTTGGAATACTTGAAGCACACGATTCCACCACTCCAACCCGCCTTTGGTGGACGAGACTCTCAGCTTTCTAGTCTTTCCATTAAAGCTCTTTACGTATCGCCTTGTTACGTCCGCAGCCTGACCCTCTAATTGGATTTCAAAAAGAGTTAGCATACCAGCCTGTAATCAATCTATTATACGACAGGCCTGTACAAACCCTCTTCAAAAGCAACTACATAACACATGGAATTTTCCCCGTCCGCCATGGGTGGCTCAAGTTTGCTCGGCTTTCCAATAGTAGATGTTACTAGAGGGTCCACAGCAACCCACTTCTGTGTCGCCGTATTCCAAGCCTCAATCCAGTAAACTGGATACGGGTCTTCCCAGATTTGGAGCCGGGCTGGAGGCTTTTCTGGTATGGGAGCTGTAACGAGTGGTTCTCGAAACCCGGGTCTTCGCAAGCCTCTTCCTCCTACTGGTGACGGCCTTGCTGGCGCCGGTCCAGGGCCACCAAATCTATTGTCGACTTGCATCTCCCTATCGTTATCCCTAGCAGCAGCTTCACTAAAGATAAAACCTGCAATTATTTGTGCTGCCTTCACCGGAGCCTGCTTGTCCTGGAAAGTGAACGACAACGGCTGAAGGGAGCATACCAGCCTGCAGGTCACTCCAACAGAGCGAAGTAACGCACAGAAAAGCTGAGCCCCTAGGTCTCTCGAGCCTGAAAGACCTACTGAAGCGGCCTGGAAGTCATCTCGCCTCATAGGGGGATCTCCGTCCCTTGGTGGGTACGAGAGCATTTCAACTACTGCTTCATTATCACGCCAGCGCGGTTTCGACACTCCCTTCTTTGTGATTCGGAATCTTTTTTTCCACATGTCTGATGCTTTTTGTAATCCTTCATTAAAACTCCATGAGCGTCTAAACTGCTGGTCATTGGGGTTTGGGTTGAGCAATGATAAGATCTCCCTATTTACTAGAGGCCTTAGATTATCCTATAAATAGATACTTAGCATGTTAGTACTAGCAAGGACCCCATTGATGTTAAATTACCTTTACAGCTGAGTTGTTACACCATCGGCTCCTCTGATATACATGTGTGAGGAGGCACAGAATGTGCATTTTGTGAATCTCGAGTCGAATGCGACGGTCAACAGCTGTTATCACTCGTCTTACCGGGCCGGGCTTTCGTTTTTCATTTGTATCTAGAATGAGCTCTAGGGTCTTAGGTTTAGAGGGTTCCTCAAAGCGTTTGATTGCTGTACAAACTGTTAGCGAAGGCATATAACGAATGACTTTGATCGCAAGACAGACGTTTACTAAGATCGACGTCTTCCCAATCTTCTTCTTCTTCTTCACTCTCATCTTCATCCATGGTGGTAACTTCATCCTCCTCGTTATTTATATTGACCTCTTTTTCTAAAAGTTGTTCTGGGCGCTCCTCTGAGTCTTCACGAAGAACATCTTTCCCTTTATCTTTACTGTTTGATGGACCCGATTCACTTTTAAAATTCTCTACCGCTTTCTGTCTCTTAGCAGGCCTTCCCTCCGAATCCGAGAGCTCTTGCTGCTGCCGCCTGTTCTTTGGAGGGCCGACTACTTCGGTTACCATTTCCCGATAAATATCGATATCTTGCATTTCATCCTGTGCCCTTGAATTCCTGCCCGCTCCTCTAGCTCTTCGGGGGGTGTTGGTACTCCCTCGGGCAGTTCTTTTGTTATTGGGTCTCGTGCGATTAGCTGAGACATTTTCCCCTGTCGCAGCTGCACTAGCAGCAGACCCAGTAGCTTGGGTTGTGGGTTGAGATCTGGTGCTGCTTCGCGTTTCGCGAGTACCACCGCCGCCACCGCCGCGTCGTTTCGGCGGCATTATGAATTAATTGGGCTGTTGTGGTTCGGAGGTGAAATACACGTAAAGAAGTATTGACACGCTCAAAAGAAGGGAAGGGTGGGAAGACGCGGCGGTTATGACTCTACTGAATCCCTGCCCTGATGACGACATGTGTGCAACCGGCACCTTATGTAAACATGGCGAGTGATGGTAAATGATTCGAGGTTCCACAAAAGCTTAAATCCCCCCACTATAACTTTAACAATTAAGGGAAGAAAAGAGAATACATCTTTCTAATTAAACATCAGTGGTTCCTGAGATGAAGACTTTTTCCAGCATCAGCGGATTTCTATATCTCGTTTTAATTACAATCACCTTATTATCCAAATCTCTTGCCTTTTCTCTCTCCTTCCCTCGCACCCAAGGAAAGAGTCCTTCTATCTTAGAGACCCAGACTACAGATCATGAAAACGATGTTCTGTCTGAAGCTCTCTCCCGAGCATTTCCTCCCTCTCATGGCCATAACCCAGCCTATGTAGCAGCTCTTGCCGTTTTCCGTGATCTTGAATCGAAAACATCCTGCCACAGGACTGCTGCAGCATCCCTAGTTTCCGATTGCAGCACCATCGAAGGTAAAAACGATATTCTTAAGATCACCTACGCAGCTCAGCTTGCCGTTTGTGAGTTCGAGGCTACCGGAATCAAGTTTCCCCGGGAATGCCAGAGTACGGATGGCAGCCCGTTGCGGGAGACAAGAGTTATGGAGTGCGTCAGGAGATTGGAGGAGCGTCCGCAGTGGTGGACTACACTCAGTAATAATATACAAAGTGCTGTTGTTATGTGCTCTGCGGTTAGGCATGAGGTTGAGAAAGGTACAGCCTTGCTTCTCATCATCATCAGTCATCGTCTTGCTAATTGGTGGTTACGCAGATGAGATTCTGATTCTCCATAAGAATATAACCAAGACTCAAAAGTCTCTATTCTCGGCATTATCTACGTCTTTAGAGGAGGCTTGGGAGTCGATAACAGCACAGAAAAGCTTCGGGGGGATCTGGAAAACCACATTGAATGGCGTGTTGGAGGACCTTGCTGAGACTAAGGGGAAGGTTATGGACGCACTGAGGGATGCCGGAGCCAATGCTACCGGTATCATTAAAAATTTGACCCAAGAACTAGAGGTGAGAAGGGAAGAACAAATACGGACAGTTAGTGAGCTGAATCAGGTACAGACATCCCAAGGCCTTAAATTAAGAATTTAACTAATAGAGATGTTTAGTTTATCCTTGGGGCGATAAATAAATTCGAAGAGTTAGGGGAACGTTCAGAAAAAATGACGGAGGTGGTTGAGACAGCGATGGTAGATCTATCCACTGATGTTAACGTAAAGAGAGGGGCTATCGAACAGAGCTTGCATTTAATTCATCGGGTATGTGTGCTATCCCTTCCCGACAAATGTGGTGATATTGAATCTAACTATTCTCCAACAGATTAGTTCTCAATTTTATGTTGACTTCAACTCGTCGATTAATAATATGCTGCGTACAGTTGACAATCTCTCAACTAGAATAGTATTTATATCTTCCAATTATTTATTGCAACTGAACCTAACATGGTTTCATAAAAGATCGACTCATCTGTGAAGCTTGAAACTCTTGCCAATACGTTTGAATCACATTCATCGGTGAGTGTGTGAGATCAGCAAATATAAATGAAGGTATAACTAGCTAATTAAATTTACAACTTACAGCTTTTTGATTCAATCTCAAGTTCTTATACCGAACTCACAAAAAATCATGTAACTCTCACAAAATCTTTTGCTAAACAGGAAGAAACACAGCAACGATTATTCTCTTCATTGGAAAAGACTCATCACAGAGCAAATGTTACGTTCGGAAATTTATTGAAAATGATGGATAATCTTAGCCAAAGTCTGGACCAAACAAGTACAACAATCCATTCATGGAGGGCTAATGGGTCAGACTGGGCTGGAATACCGATAAGCTCCATCATGTTTATATCTGGGATATTATTCGCAAAGGGATGGGAGAAAGTTATCTTGGTTTCCCTCGGTGCTTTAGGTTTGTCAAATACCTGTTAATCTGTTCTTCTTACTAACTAGGTGAGTATAGTTATGATAGCGATAATTATTTTTATTGGGTTCGTTCAATTCAATGGTGGAGGATTCCTGGGGATGTTCGGCCATGGTGTTTTTAGGAAACTACCCTCTGCGGTCGAGCCCTTTATTGGCGAGAACCTCGATAACACTGGCCGTGTGGTATCATCATCACATTGGCTTTGGCTTGGCTGTTTTATGGTAATCGTTATGGCGATATGTGGAATATTTTTCTTTTCACTATCTCGGTCCCGATCTATGACCTTGGTCAAAGGTTTTGATTAGATCGATGTGTGGGCTTCAAATGTTGGATATTGGTTGCATGAAGTACTTTATGTACAAATTTTTAAGAAAATAAAGGGCATGGACGTTGCTAGAGCTCATACAAATAATTTTAACTGCGGTCTGTGAACGGTCTATAAAGTATCTCTTGTTCGCGGCCAATGACATTTTTTATAGACCCAGTTAGTTAAACCTTTTTTTAGCCCAAACAAGCGCTCGATTCACTCGGGGAGGTTTTTGAGTCAAGCTTTTACTCAAAAAGTGAAATGTATATTGCAATGTTCTTGGCCCGCTCAAGCCAATCCCGAGTCCATTCTGGTATAGAGTATGGTAAAAAAAAAAAAAAAAAGAAAAGAAAAGCTCTTGTATTTCATCAAATCTAGATCAGATTCTAATTGATTGATAGTCATTCACATTTGGTATAATAGAAGCTCAGTATGTATGCAGGGCAATGAGATATATTGGGTGTCTCTGTACTCTTTGAAACTTCGCAACGCCGACCTTAGCAACTAAAAGTTCGCCTGACAGTGCCTACCCTTACGCGTATACGAGGATATTTACATTCAGATTTTGGCGACTGTTACTTACCCAGTTTATAGAAGTGATACTCTATAATAAGCAATCTTCTGGCGCGAACTGGTCCTTGATTCGCGGGTGGGCTGGCTCCCTGGATGGACTAAACGACAATATCGAGTGACAGGTCACGCCTATGTGGGGGGGGCGTCTTGGCAGCACGGTACAGTTCAATCTGTCCAAATTTACCACCCACAACCTTAGCTTGCCTGGACCACCGAACCTTCTAGAGTACCTTTCAAAGCAAATACCCCTGATTGTGCAGTACGGGCTACGAGACCTCTTGACGCGATGAAAAAAGAATGCGTCGTGGCGCCTCTATGCCAGCTTGTGGCCACGCCCCTGTGATGTACATCTTAACCTGGTTTGCTCAAGCAAGGAGGGTGAATGCCTAGGAGTCAAACACAGAATATCACTCGATTGACTAATCAACATTGCCGACAACACCAACAGTGACTTTAAGGGTGACAATCAGCGAATCCTCACTTACTAGCAACTTTGGATCACAATACAATGTGATCTTTCTGGACACGGACACATGCCACATGTTTCTGCGAATAAGCTCAAACGCTGCTTGCTTGGACACCTTCTCAATGGACTCAGAAATATTGTATTATATAACTCCAAGTTATCTAGCAGATTATTTCGAAAGCTAATAAATTTAAAAACTCCTCACATCTAGGAAGATCTTCTAATAATCTTTACAAACCGTTCTTCCCGCCTTCGTAACTTTCTACGTCATACTCATCGGGATACTCCACAATCATCCTCCTAAGCTGCTGTAACTGTTCATTCAAATCCTCACTCGGTTTCTCAAAGATATCAAGAAATAGATTCTTGATAGCTGGCTTCTTTTCTTTTTCGGCACGTGCAAAGGCTTGCAGCACTTCTTTGCGAAGATTTGTCCGAAGCTGTGTCTCCTCATCAGCTGACCACCAGGATCTAAGTTCAAGCCATTTTCGCATCCTCGTGATTGGATTATCTCGTCGTTTCCAGTCTGTATCGGCAACCATTAGGTTAGCAATCACGAGTTTTACACCATCCCCAGAAGGAGAGATATACCCTCGACCTCCACTTTCGCTCTATAAGCAAAAGAATCATCACTTGTCGAGTGATGCGAAACGCGGTACGACATAGCCTCAATCAAGACTGGTTTTTGTTTGGTCATGGCAATATTTCTCGCTTGTTTCGTCACTTCCATTACTGCCATGATCTATCCCATTCAACTGTCAATAAAGAATGCATTATTATCCTTGATCGACTGAATCTTACATCATTCCCGTCAACTCTGATGGTATCAATACCATAGCCTACACCTCTACTTGCAATGCCATCTCCCTTGTATTGCTCCAAGGTAGGTGTACTGATAGCGTACCCGTTGTTTCTACAAATGAAAACAACTGGACAGGATCTCGTTGCAGCAATGTTAAGTGCTGCATGGAAGTCGCCCTCCGAGGCAGCACCCTCACCGAAATAGCAAACAGCTATACGATTTTCGCCGGAGAGTTTTAAAGCATATCTATTTTGGGAGGAGTTAGTATAAGTATAATTCGTGACATAAAAAGGCTTTAAGGTGATATCCTTACGCTGCGCCTACTGAATGTGGGATTTGAGTTGCCAGTGGAGAAGAAATCGAGTGCTTAATGATATTGGTTAGGCCATTGTTTAAGTGAATAAAATGGATCTATCCTTACTAAGTATAATCTCTCACTCATGTAATGCACGGGCATGTTCCTTCCTTTCCCATAATCAAATCTATTCGCAAATAACTGATTCATAAACTAGTGCATCCAATAACTCCCATTAGTATTGTCAATGGCCCACATAAAAAGCCTCCTTAAGTAAATTCCATACCTCGTCTAGTGTAAAGCCCCTGTACATCATTACACCTTGTTCTCTGTACTGGGAGAAAATGATATCATTGTCTGCCAATGCAGCAGCGGATCCGACTGCTATACCTTCTTCGCCGGCAGAAACCTAGATAACTGATTAAAAAAAGAACAAATGGTGGATTCGCCCAAAGCTCAAGAAATTCTGTACCATGTAGAAACTTATTCTTCCTTGCCGTTGGGATTCATACCTACGAATAACCAGAGTAAGAAGCTAAAATTAATACAATTCTGATATCGGAAGACCTACATAAGTAAATCCATAACACTAGCTATACATAACGTTCTTGTATCAGCAATGTCACCCGCCATGCCCCATTTCATTCGTGGGAGGGTGATTTACTAGCAACCATATCCCTATACATCTTCAAAGCTTTTTCTTTACTCAAATCCGGCTCTCTGCTGGTATCTAACAGGGTCCCATTGGTATCGATCAGCCTGTACGTTGGTATCGCTGGTGTATCTTCCGATTTCTGGAACTTGAGAGTATTCGAGAACTTTGAATTGAGGGCACCGGGGAAATGAACGCTTTTATGATAAGAAATTGAAACAGTTAGCGTTTAGTATGAAGGTTGAGGTTTTAGGGAGTTAACCTGTCAGAATGGGGCGGTTGGCGTACACCTGCATTCTGCAGAGCTCGGCTTGAGGATACAAAAGGGCGTCCGAAAGCTACTTTAGGGCGCTGTGTAAGGGCCCGAATCGAAGTTGAACGAATGCATTTCTTTAAAGGGGTTGTTAACATAATTGTAGACAAATTGTGATGTTCTGAAAGCTAAACGTTGTATCTAAGTGTTGAAGTGGAGCTACAGGGAATTGGGGTCACAACTACAAGCAACAAAATCCGGGGTTCGGTTATTGCCGGCGTGACAGGGGCCCCGTGACGCTGCTCCCCACCATTTGGCTCGGGGGTTGAGCCACTGGTTGTATAACCTATAGCAAGCTTAACTACCACTTTAACCGTCCCAAGTGTACTATATGTGGCGCAAAGACAACGTTAGAACAAAATACCGGAAAGAGCTCCCGCCTCAAGTTCTCGGTGGCCGGAAGAACTTCTGAACGGTTAGGTATAAAATTTTGGCCACAGCAAGCCATAACTTATTGCCTAGTTGGTAAATATTATGATTTACAATGCTGCTTGATCCTTCACTACATGTAAATACTCGCAGCAGGTAACAAGTACCCGAAAATGCACGTCCTAATCTGCAATTTCCATTGGAGTAGAAGTCAAAAATACACCAAAAACTTGCAGCTGCATATTCGGGTACTTCATGCCTGTCGTGAGTACATGTAGTTGCCAGTAAGCCGGCTAGCCCCTGAATGTTCCTCGGAATAATCAGTCAATGGGACAATAGACGATTTCCCTAGCCACTCGAACCCCCCCTCACTCGAACAGTGGATGATGATGATTGGTGAAATAACGGTATATAAGCCGGTTATAACGAAGATCCTTTCTTTTTTGCGTTAAATGTTCGAGTGAGGGGGCGTTCGAGTGGCTAGGGAAGTCGTCTACCATCTAGCCGAGTCATACTCCATGATTAGTGCCAAATCAGACTCTATGAAGTACCGAATCAGAATCCATGAAGTACTCGCGAGAAAAACAAGTCTGTCCCTTTTGGTACGTAGGTAGCAACACAATCCGCATGCTACATACGAAGTACCAAAACGGGCAGATTTGATATTCTCGCTAGTAGTAGCAATATCGACGTATTATTCAGAAGGCTCCACGCCAATATGGGATTGCATGATTCATAGGATGTCGGTCATAATCAGTACTTGGTCGCTGAGTAATCGTTATAGGACAGGCGACCCATCTGTCTCCGACATCTCATGGGGCATGATTCAACGTAGGCTCGTCCCCAACTCCTCAACTTCCATGCTTCCACCCCTGAACTTCCCTAAGTAGGGGATGGGTACGAGACTAGATTCAACGTGGTTTAAACCTGATCCTGTTCACCTCCAGCGCCACCAATCTTTAATTAAATCCACCCTACATGTTGTCTTAATACGGAAACATAGAATCGAAATATCAATAAAAAGCTTTCATAATGGCATAAACCAATTTTTCTAGGTATATCGAGATGTCAATTCTTACAAGTACATACTTAAAGTCCAATAAGCACCGATACACATTGCGTGGATTAACAGAAATCTGCGGGAACCTTAAGGCAATCCTCCACCATCAGGCCCTGACGGTTTCCCACTCTCTTCTCCTTCATCTTCCTTTTTGATAATGTGCCCCAAGAGTCCCCTTTTGCTCACAATCTTCGCCCTTTCAATCAGAGCTTCCTCTTCCTTCAGCATGTCCTTGGCCCTTTGTTCTTCTCCTCGAAGCCTCCATTGATCCTTTCTAACAGCGGCTTCTCTATCTCTTATAGCTCGTTCTTTCCGTTCCAGCTCCTCTTTAGCCTTCTTTTCCGCTTCATTCATTGGAGCCTCTGGAAGGGTAGCAAGATGATCCTTGATTATTGCATCGCGTATCTTCTCGGGGGAAGTAACATAGCGCACATCTATTAGGATTGACTCCGGAAGGTCCTCGAGTGATGTCAGACGAGATAACTCAGAATTGGATTTAAGGAGTTTCTTTAGGTCATTTTCACGGAGTGACTCGGAAATTTTCATATCTAACAAACGTCAGTCACGATGTGCCAAAGACGATATTGAAGTTACTCACGTGAAATATAGTCTCTGTACATCTTTTCCTTCTCTTTATCGGCGAGTTTTGTGTCCTTCATTTCTGACATTTTCTTGAATTTCCTCTTGAATTCTGGCCAATAAAGCTTTGCGCTTGCGTTTTCTTTCAAAAACGCCCAAAATGGGATTTTGGGGTCCACCTTTTTCTGCTTTGCTTTTTCAGCCTTGATCTCTGCTATACGATCCTTGCACCACTCCGTAAAAACATCCTTGCGGCGTTTTGTAGTTGTTACGAGAACATAGCGATTATCCTCGACGATCCTTGGCATTTCGGCGTCCCATGTGCTATAAGGGTTGATTTTGTAATCGTCCAACATTTCCTAGGCAGTTTATTAGCAACTCAACTCTCCAATACTGTGTTTTAGTCATATACTTTGAATAAATTAATATTATCCTCCTCTGTCATATCTTCTCCTTCTTCAAAATCCTCTTCCTCTAACCCGTATTCTTCAGCCATGGCCTCCAATTGCCACGCTACATCGTCTTCTGTAAACTCAACTGCTTCTCCGGTCTTCAATCTCTTATTCCCGTGGGCGTCATGCTCGTCTTCACTTTCTTCCCCCCCCTCCTCCTCTTCCTCTTCCTCTTCCTCCTCTTCTTCCTCCTCTTCTTCGTTAATCTCTGCGGTTTCGGTGCCCTCCTTGCCCTCAGTTTCTAGAGCAGCCGGCGCCGGTCTTTTGATTCCCCGAGGCTCTGACTCCTCTTGTTTAGGACTATCAGCATCAGAAGCAAGTTTCTTCTTAGTCTTCAATTCCTTTGTTGCTTCATCCTCGGGTAGCATGGTGTCTATAGCAGCCTGCACATCTTCTGGGACCTTCCATAACGATACTTTTGTCTCCGGATTGTGCACAAAAGTCCTGCCTAATTTTGTTTTTACAAGGACCCATGGTGTCGCACCTGGGATGGCACGTCTAGAAAGCACAAGTAAGTATCTGAACAATCATTCAAACGAGACATAATATTACTTTGACTTTGGGCGATCTGGTTTCTCTTCCGACTTTTGGCGGTGCTGGCGCTGATTATTGAATCTTCCGCCCCTACCCATCCACCCACGGCCACGATTTTGATCATGGCCGAACTGCTGTTGTGGTGGGAACTGCTGGTTCGGGAACTGCTGTTGGTTGAATTGACCACCATAATACCCTCCAGGAGGTTGAGAAAAGTTGGGATAAGGACCTGGAGCTGGATACGGACCCGGAGTTGGACCAGCTGCGAAAGGGGCTGGCGCGGGCGTTGGCGCGACGGGGCGAGTATAAGTCGAGGTCTTCGTAGCGGCGTTATAGTAATAAGAGTGACCTGCCAACTCTTAGATATCTGAGAGGTTTCGAAGCAGCGATCAAAAGTCGCAGAATAGCTAAGGAGACTTGCCTGTAGGAGCTTTGTGTTCGGTCCATCCAGGCGCAAGCATCGGAGGTCTAGGTGGAGGTGGAGGCCGATTGAAGGATCCAGGGTTTGGAGGGCGGTTAGGAAGATTAAAAGATGACATGACGAGATCGTGCACAGAGTTTTCGTATGGCGGGTGGTGTATAGAAGTAGTTTACAAGATCTAGGACTGCCGGGGGTTCATGTTATTTATCTGGCACGGACACTTTATCAAAGTCGAGACAAGTCTTGGCACAACGCATCGCCAGAAGCCCCCCCCCCCCACGGTCCCACCAAACAACGTTCATCTGCCCCTCAGTCATCACCCTTTTCTCCATTTCAGCAAGTCGAGAATCAATAAAGTTCCCTCAAAATGTCCAGACGCTACGATTCCCGAGTACGTCCTTCTGCATATCCCCCAACTCATCTGTGATAAGGTCAAACTGATTGATATTCTTCCATAGACAACAATCTTCTCCCCCGAAGGTCGACTTTATCAAGTCGAATATGCTCTAGAAGCCATTTCACATGCCGGAACTGCTCTAGGAATCTTAGCGAAAGATGGAATCGTCCTTGCCGCTGAACGGAAGGTGACGAGTAAGCTGTTGGAGCAAGATACCAGCGCTGAGAAGCTGTACATCTTGAACGAGTTAGTAACACATCCAGTCAATACATTCCATCATCAAAGAATCTTAAGCTCCAAGAGCTTATGATACTCGTGATAAAAAAGTGATGAGAACCTTTGAAACTCTAGCTGACGATGACCGATTCACCATCGCAGCAACATGATCTGTGCTGTTGCCGGAATGACTGCGGATGCCAACATTCTCATCAACTATGCTCGACAGGCTGCTCAGAACTATCTCCTAACATACAACGAAGATATTCCATGTGAACAGCTTGTTAGGAGATTATGCGATCTTAAGCAGGGCTACACACAGCACGGAGGTAATAATTCCGGCAAACCAACCCCGCACCCCGCCTTACCCCACATCAGTCAAATACACCCTTTATCGTCACTATCAACTGATTCGCAATTTTTGTTTGAAATTAGGTCTGCGTCCTTTCGGCGTTTCATTCATCTATGCGGGCTACGACTCGCAGCGCGAATTTCAACTTTACCAGTCCAATCCTTCTGGTAACTACGGCGGTTGGAAAGCCACATCGGTCGGTGCGAATAACGCCTCAGCACAGAGCTTACTGAAGCAGGATTACAAGGAGGACTGCGACTTGAAGGAAGCCTGTGGGATTGCTGTCAAGGTGCTTAGTAAGACCATGGATAGCACTACCCTAAGTAGCGAGAAGAGTAAGACAGCGAACCTCGAACACTATTCTGCAGGTTCAATACTGATAATCTATTCTTACAGTTGAATTTGCGACCGTTGGTAAGACAGCCGAGGGCAAAGTTTATCATCACTTATGGACTGCAGACGAGATCCAATCTCTCCTAAAAGAGCAGGGCTTGGCAAAGCAGGAGACAGAGGAATAATCGACTGGACAAAATCATGGTTTCGATAGTCTGCCAATGAGTAATGAAATTCTCGGCGCATCTGAACGTTAGACCTTGTCACTACTGTATCGTTGCTTGATGATACCCTTTCCAGTTCTGGAAATATAACATCCATTGGCTCATGAAACTTTCCCAGATCTTATATCCAATTATTATAGGGTCAAGGATATTTTACTCGTGTTTTCAAGCATCAAGACACAAAGAGCCAGAATATGGCCACTACACCATTCGGATAAGCAAAACTACAAAGAGATACATCATAAAGTAGAGAAGGTAAGAAATGCAATATAATAACGCAAGAAGTCTTTCTTGTAGAATAAACGCAAAACTTGATAGTGACAGCGCCAAACATCGTGACAATATCACACGATAAGGAAACATATAAAATACCCCAAACGCAACAGCAAAAATCAGACTGCACTTGTCAATCTCTCGTAATAGGTTCTCAATCCCAAGACATGCGCCCTGGGCGGGTTATTTCTTGGAACTCCACCTTTACCCCAGCGTGAATTCTGCCTTTGACTTCCACCGATACATCGTTTTGTGAACCTCGTGGCCATTTCTCTCACCTTTGGCCTTTCATGTTCTAGATATGCCTTTTCGATCCAACCTACTCGCTCAGCATCCGCCAAAGAGGGTCTTTTATTACCAACCCAACCCCTCAGCATATCCTTTACTCTCTCCTTCTCCAACTCTTTTACGGTACCCAGAAGCACCGGTGAAATTCTAACAGGCTGCCATATCGCCGTATCATCTGCCGATTTGTGATAATACGGTGCGGGAAGAACACCGCGCTCGATTAGGGACGGTATTGATGGCCTATTAGACAACTTACGCTTCAAGCGGATAAGGGTCAATGAACGAGCGAGAGATCTTTGAGCCACCTGTCGACAAGTCAAGTAGATTCGGCCACTCCTCTGGACGTCGTCCAAAGAGGGTCTGTGAGAAAGCGAGATGTTTAGTGTCTGCTTTGCTGTCTTGAGACGTGTGAGATGCAGGAGAGGGTCCGTGGAGAGTGCCCTGAGGTGGCGGGAAGTCTACACGAAGGCGTATGATTAAATTAGAAATTTGATTCATCATTGACAGTCTGTCAATCAGTATCAAAAATAAAATTAAAAAAATCCCTTGGATGTCGTGCTTTCCCTTTTTTTTCCTTTTTTTTCCTTTTTTCCTTTTCCCAATGACTTGTCCTCCAGGAATCAATGTAATTTAAATCTCCTGACTGATGAGGCAGGCACGGAGAGTCCCATGGTGACAGATCGTAGATGATGATGATGTAAGATATATAAAAAAAACCAGAAAATAAAGACAACGGGCGAAACAGAGGGCAAAGATGTATAAAAATAAGGTAACACAACGGCTCGATTGACAATTGAGAGGGTCCACTCCCTCGTCCGTTGTGCCCACATGTACATACATGCGTTCCTTAGTACATGATCAACCGCCAACATGATGTTTTGGATTGCGACAGGCATATGGAATCATCAATTAGACGAAATGCGGGGGAGTGGTACTAACTCTCGCTAACACGTAGAGCTCGGGAACATCCAGGAATTTTAAAATATAGAGGATGAGCTCGTCTGGAAACGTTGCCAGTCCCACCTGCGCCGACGGCGATGATATCGCAGCAGGGGCAGAAGAAGATGAAGTAGAATCTGGTACTGTTTCTGTTGCTGCTGCAGCCAGCTGCAGGATATTGAAACATGTAGTTGGGGTTGAGTCCGCCATTATGACGATGAAGCAGCAAAGCAAGCAAGTTAACCCAAGTTCACAGTTCTGCGTTGGCGATGGACAGTTATCTTTCTCGAGAATCTCGAGAAGAGTAAGAGGAGTTGCTGCTCACAAAGCAGACGTTCAAACAAGGCGCTCGGCCGGGACCTTGACCGATGACGACAGCCCCTAGCTAGAGTTGCGTTGCTACTGCTACTCACTTGCTTGTACCACAACAACCGTCAACCGCAATAATAATTTGAGACATCAACATCTAGTAGCAATTGAAAGTAGTTAGTAACAATCTCTACATCTGGATATTAATAGGAAAAAGAAATGAGAAACAAATCATAACCACGCCGACCCAAGACATACACGTACACCTACATATATTACAAATGCACGACCCTTTGTTGAAGGCACCTACCTACCTGCACGTATGTTGTACATTTATATTCAATATGAGCCAAGTAATAACTTTGGTCAGGAACTTTTTTCCAGGCATGTGTTTGTCGCTTTGCGGCCCTGACTCGAAAAAAAAGGTTTATCCAACAATCACCCAGAGATAGATTGAAGAGAAAGAAAAATTCTAGCTGTCCTCGAATTCATCATTGGCTCGCATCGCTACCCCCGACCCGCAGGCTGACAGTATCACCTGCACAGCATCAAACCAATGAAGGGCAAATCCGAATCAAGAGAACCCCAGAAACGAGAAACGCACAAAATCGAACGAAAAACTCAAATGCAAATGCAACGTAGAGTATGGCGAACGTATGGCGAACGTATGGCGTGTACATGCATACATGTGGGATCCATCCGTGCTTATTTTTTCAATGTACTGTTCCTTTTGGCTATCAATTTCCTTCGATGTTCGTTCCCTGCACAGGCACTATGTACCGTATCTACTCTACTCTTGACTCTATATGTATTTCTCGCAGACGGTACAGGGATTGGGCGATAATGCTGCCTTATATGTCTGCATCTCATGGCATCAACCTCTCTTCTTTCCTGGCCCACTCTTTCCTGGCCATAGCCCACCTTCCCCCCCCCACCCCGCTTTCCATCTACTGTACCCTGTGTAAGTGCTTGTAATTTACCCCCATGTATTTTGCCTTCGGCTTCAGAGGCGAATAACAAGCTGCCTAAAGCAATGAGTCCCGAGTGGGACCCCGGATTGTCTCAGGCATATGGCAAGCCTCACATGAGACATCGGAGCCCGAGCAGAGAATGCCAGCTATCCTTGGCATGCAGCAGTAGCATAATGTTCCATGAAACATTCTAGAAGGTCATAACGCTTTAACCACATGGAACGTGGGTTAAACTCTCAAACCCCAAAACTGAAATCGAGGGAAACACAACGGCCTTAGCAACCTTCTAAGAGCTTAATTTGGAGCAGGAGGACACAAGTACTAATCATCAAGGGGGGTGTGACTAGAACAAAAACTCATCAACGGTAGTTTATTCTGCGTTATGTGCCATAAATCAAGGGAAAAATTGTGTATCAGCAAAAAGAATTGGAGGGGTCGGGAAACAGGGCTGATTGAGCATTAACAAACAAATTGAACGCTGGCAAACTAGCGTAACAATGAATAAGAGTAGTCTTCTTCGTCTCCAGCTTCCCTCAATCAGCCCAACCCAACCTCTCATCCCTCCCTTCTCTTTTCCAAACTTCCTGACAAGTGCATCTTGATAAATGCCGCGCTTAAAGTTTTCCCAAATATCGAGATGGTGCTTGACTGCTGCCTTGCTTTCACTGCCCCCCTTCTTCTGCTGTTGTGTGACTATCTTCTTCATTTTCATTGCTGTATATCGACGGGCAGGTCAATATGATGTCTTTGGTAATTGCTGCGCCGCTCACAAAAGAAAGTATGCCGTTTAACGACATACTATGTCTACTGAAGGAGTTTTCTTTGCCACTTAGGGCACCAGAGCTAGCTTCAGGGACCATCAACGGGCCAAATCAGCGTTCTCCAAGGATGTTCTTCTTCTAGAGCACGGCTGATCTGATGAAATTCACTGTAATCTACCTGAGCCGGTTTTCCATAACATAATATGGCCACCGCCTCTCAGATCCAAGACGTAATTGAGTTCACAGCCATAAGAACAGCCCATAAATTGAGCCTCTTCATTCAAGGTGACAGCCATACCCTGTTTGCCACGTCAGTTTGGATAAAGTCTCGATCGTAGCGCCTGCCTCATTTACATGGAAGGGGGGGGGGGGGGGGGTGCAATGAGGCAAGAAAGAAAGTGATGGGCGAAAAGAATCTATACGAGTCATTCATGCATTGCTTTCCTTATCTGAATGCTCTGGAAGAACGGAGCACAGAAGAGGTAAAGCCGCCGGGCCGTAACTCTGGGAGTGGTGCAAGGTTCGTAGGAGGGGTGCAGGAGAATGATAATCAGCTGAACGATTATAATCCCAAAAAAAGATGTAAGTGTTTTATGGAAACCAATCCAAATCCTCAATTGAGCAATCATGAAAAATGGAGACCGAGGCAGACACAGTCTTGTGACTGAAGGTGCATTTTGGGAAACACCCGGGTCTGCGGATAGTTGAAGGATTTCAAGGCAACAAATGTCCTTGAAACAAAACATGTTTACCTGCAGTATAGTTCAAATGAATTCGAAAAAGCTGAGATAAGACCCCGGCCAACCCGAATGACGAGGCTATAGCTAAGAGAAAGGTGTGGAGCCATAGTGCAAGAAAAAAAAGGTGAAAGCAACCGGTGTTGGAGGGGGGGGAGTATGGAGGGTTTGAAATGTCTGCTTTTCTTGGTTGTTTTGTTGGTGTACTGATTCGGAGCAGTGGAAAGCACGATCATCTTGATAGCCGGACTTTTGGCGTAAAAAGAAACAAAATTCATGCGTTGAATTGCTCCAAAAGAATCCTAGTCCTGGGGGAGGCAAATCCCAAGATACTTTCATCCTTCATCCTAGTTCAGATATCTCGTGCCACTAAGTAAAGGGACTCCGTGAAACCCCCGTAAATAACGACCATTCAGCAGACTCTCAATGCATTGACCCCATAGTGCATGCACCCACGTCCCGTTCATCACATACACACGTGATGAACAAGCTTGCAACCCAATCTATGAGCTTCTGCAAACAAGGGGTAGTGGAGAGAGTTGTGAAAAAACCACAACACCATAAAGCATCTGATTTAGTAGCACGGGACGAGTGAGACAGGGTGAGGTGAGAGCCAGGAGTGCATAGTCAAAGGCCTCCGTGAGGGGTTAAACGGGGAGATAGGAGATAGTTGGTCAATTGATCGAATGGGAAGAAGAATTACTGTTTCCGGGAGACGGAGTTGGAAGCGAAGGGGACACGCCTGCTCAATGGAAACAGTTGAAGAGGGTGTGGGAGCAGGGGTTAATGTCCAGAAGGAACGACGATCGTTGTGATTGCGTGCCTCCGTTATGCTTCGCAATTGTGTGTTGTTCGAAAGGCGGTTGAAAAGAACCATGAGCTGACTAGCGTGATCGGAAATAGTTGAAGATTCTGTAACTGTTGGTAGTATCAAGTCTTGACGGAGGTGTTAGGATATACATGTTGTATCAATATCTATCAACCATAAATACCCCCCCATCATCACCCTCAATTGCTTCCTCATCCTCATCATTTCTCTCGAGAAGCACAGACTAGAGCCTGAACCCGTTCTCAAACAAAACATATCCTGCATTCTTTGCCGCCCTCAAGCAGCTTCCCCACAATATCCAAAGCAACCCCCACCAAATAGCTCTCTCAAATCTTTATACCAACCCCCAACCCCCCCCCCCCCCCCCCCCTTCCTCCACCAGATATCAATCGTTTTTGAAACACCAAACAAATCAAAAAACATGTGCTTCTACGATCAGCAAATCTTCTCCTGCAACGACCACAAATGGGGACGATTCCGTGCCCACTGCAACAAGGAGTACCGAACCGGCGAAACCTGTGGCATGAAGTTGATATACGAAGCTACTCGCGTCAATGGCAAGTGCCAGAACTGCAAGAAGTACGAAGTAACCTGGCGCAAGATTGTTCAGGCCACTGAGCGAGTGGCCCGATGGGAAGCCGAAGGAATCAACCCCGTGTCGACCGATAAGGAAAGGCTCAACATTGCCGCGTGGCAAAAGGAGTTGAAGGATATGGAGCTTCTGAAGCAAACCAAAATGCGAACGATATAATTGAGCGCCGATTGGCGCTTAGTAACGAGGGATTTGTTTGAAGCTTGTACCGGTGTTTATTTTTATTATTTTCTTATGTGTTGATGATCGTTCCTTTTTTATTTTCTGGTGTTTTCATTGTGTTTTGGTGGAGCGGAATTATGAGTGTTGAAGTGAGAACACTGAGGTGACGTCGTGGTAACGGGATCCGCCGATGGTCCAGAATCGGACAGGGGTTACTATTCCGGGGATCTAAAACTGTTTCATTTCTTATTTTCTCCGTCTTTCGCTGTAATTTTCGTTTATCTTGTACACAGATGTCTGTGATATCTCAATAAACTCTTCGGAAAATCTGCAACCGCGCTGCTACTGAGTCGTTAATGATACTTTGTGATGTTTGGCGTTTTTTGTTTATGTTTCGGGAGCCAATTGAGGATTGAGGTGGTTCCTGGGGTGGTGATCCATAAATAGAATCGAGACGAGCGACTGCTGATACAACACCATTGTCCGGCGATCCCGTTTTGAGGCTCTGCCCATTGTAAACAAGCTAAACAAAAACACCACATAAAAACAAGTCCCAAAGTAGTGCAACGAGAAGCCCTGAGGATAGTTATTCGGGCGATGCGCCTGTCTTCCCGTTGCGTCGGAGAAATAATGATCCCCTTGATTCTCATACGGTTGACGAACGTTGAAGCGCCCTGTCCAATAGAGCGAGTGGGCGTTAAGAATAGGTCTCGACGCTCTGGTACCCTTCCGAAGTATTAAAACAACACGTGTTGTCATGATAATCTCCTATGATTTCAAGAGAAGAGAATGCTTTCTCACGTTGTTGTCGTCGAGTGTTAAAGGATGGGTGTCCTTCGGACAAAGCGG